ATAGTGGGATTAAGTAGGATTAGTATTGGATTTCAGATACTGTGAATTGGATTTTAACAAATGGCTATTCTACATATATTGGTGCAATCTTATGAATTTTCTATGTTAATCTGATTATATAGATCATCTGTTACTTTTTCTTGTCCCTACTTTTGAACAGGTTTAATTACATGGACATGAAATACTTCAATTATATTCACTCACACACATAACCCTTTGCCTTTTCACTTTCTCCTGAGTCCTACTCCAAACAGTCCCTAATTTACACTTATGCCATTTTTTAAGGTCTAGATTCAACATGATGAAAAACTTGAACTTCTGTACATGTTCATTCAAATCTATTTCATTTCTCTTTATAGATGAATAATTGTATATATATAAACACATTTTCAATATGTTCATCAGTTAATAGACGCCTAAGTTTCTGTAAATAGTGCTGCTATAAAAATAAGTTCACACATACATATATTGTATGCTGGTCAACATTCAAGTAAATGATGTAATAGGATCCTGTGGTAAGTATTTTTGTTTTATTTTCTTGAGGAACCTCTATACTGATTTCCATAATGGTTGGATTTACATTTTGATGTTTTTTCTTTTTCTGTCTGGGAGTCTGAACTCTGGGCCTGGGTATTGTCCCTCAGCTATTCAGCTCAAGGATAGCACTTTTACCACTTGAGCCACAGCACCACTTCTGGCTTTTTCTGCTTACGTGGTACTGAGGGATTGACCCAGGGCCACATGAGTACAAGGCAAGCACTCTACCACTTAACCACCTTCCCAGTCCTCAACAGGCACTTTTATAAGAATACCATCTTCCCTACACCTTTGGCTAACAGTTTTATTGATGACTGTCATTCTGGTAAGTGACATGGATACTATCATTTTATTTGCAATTCTAGTATGACTAAAGATGTTGAACAATTAAGTCTTCATATATATTGGATATTAATCTTTTTATGAATAGCTAATTGCCCACTTATTATTGGTCTTTTTGACATTTTATTTTTTTGCAGGTCCTGGGGCTTGAACTCAGGGCCTGGGCCTTGTCCCTGAAGCTCTTTTGCTCAAAGCTCTCTAGCAACAGCTCCACATTTGGCTTCTGGTTAATTGCAGATAAGTCTCATGGACTTTTCCTGCCCATAATGGCTTTAAACCATGCTCCTCAGATCTCAGCCTCCTGAGCAGCTAGGCTAACAGGCATGAGCCACCAGTGCCCAACAGTTTCCCTTATTTTATATAAGCCAATTTGTCAGTTCTTGCTCTTCTAAACAATTGTAGCCTTATTCTAATATCTAATATTCTAATATCCCTAAACTTCCAAGATCTTCCCTTGTTTACCTTTACCAGTTTTAAAGCAGAACCTTACATTTAAGATTTTTGTCCCATTTTGAATTTTTATACTGGGTAAGAGAGGGATCTAGGTTCTAGCCAGTTTTCTCCAACACGATTGTTCACAGGACTATTCATTTCCCCATTGTGTGTTTTTTATGTCTTTTGTCAAATATCAGATGGCTGTAGGTATATGGGCTTATTTCTGGATGTTCTATACTAGTCCATAGGTTTATTTGTTTTTGTGCCAGTATCATGCTGTTTTTGTTAGCAGGACTGTGTAGTATTAACTTGAAGACAGGTACTGTGATACCCCTAGCATTTTTCAAGTGATTATTTGCTTAGGATTGCTTTGACTGTTTGGGGTCTTCTGTGCTTCCATATGGATCTTAAGATTTTTCTATACTTGTGCAAAATATATTAGAATTTTATCACACTGAATCTGCATATTGCTTCTAGTAGTATATCATTTTAAAAACACTAACATAGCTGATCTGAGGTCTTCCCATCTTGTTTTTCTTTCCTCAAGATTTCAGTTTTTCAGTCTTTTTTCCTTCGTTAAATTTCAAGGCATTTACTTTTTTAACCCCAATTTCTTCCTCACTTTGTTCACTACTTGTAAAAGAAAAGCTACTGTTTTTTGTCTTTTGTATCCTTTTATTTGCTAAAAGTAAAAGACATTTTGGTAGAGTCCTTATGGTTTTTTAAATATGAAATCATACTATTTACAAATAGGGATAATTTTACTTTTCATTTTCAGTATGCTTTTTTTTTTCCTCTTGCTGTACTATACTAGCTAAGATATTAAGAACAATATTGAAGAGGTCGAGAGGCCAGATACCAGTGGCTCATATCTATAAACCTAGCTACTCAGAGGGTGACATCTGAGGATCACAGTTCAAAGCCAGTCCAGGAACCAAAGACTCATAATCTTTTTTTTTTGGTCAGTCATCGGGCTTGAACTCTGGGTCTGAGAGGCAAGCACTCTACCACTTGAGCCACAGTGCCACTTCTGGTTTTTGGAGTGGTTTATTGAAGTCTCTTGGGAGTTTCCTGCCCAGGCTGGCTTTTAACTGCCATCCTCAGATCTCAGCCTCCTGAGTAGCTAGGATTACAGGCATGAGCTACCAGCGCCCAACAAGTCTCACAATCTTATGTCCAATTATCCACCAGACAACCAGATCTATGGCTCAAAGTGGTAGAGCAGAAAAGCTCAGGGAAAACATGTTTAAGCCTCATGGCTGACAAAACAAAAAATAATGGATACTCATTTCGTCCTTTACAGGAATCAATTTATCTGGTTTGGGCTTTTCTTGGTTAGAAGATTCTATTACTCCTTCTAGAAATGAATCAGTGGTCTTCTAGATTTTCTATTAAAATAATTTTTCAGGGGCTGGGAAGGTGGCTCAGTGGTAAAGTGCTTCTCACATGCATGAGGCCCTGGGTTCAATCACTTACACCACATAAATAGAAAAGGCCACAAGTGGCACTGTGGCTCAAGTGGTAGAGCACTAGCCTTGAGCTAAAGAGCTGAGGGACAGTGCCCAATCCTAGAGCTCAAGCCCCATGACCAACAAAATAATTTTTCAAAAATTTCCCTAAGGTTCCTCTGAATTCACAGATATTGATATTCTTTTTCACCTCTTAATTGTATTGGAGGGTCCTCACTTTCTTTAGGTTTGGCTAAGGTTTGTCAATTTTATTATATCCTTACATAGTTATATTTTTAGATCTCACAGACTTTTTTTTTTTGGGGGGGGGGGGGGTCCGGTCGTGGGGCCTGAACTCTAGGTCTGGGTGCTGTCCCTCAGCTCTTCAGCTCAAGGCTAGCACTCTACCACTTGAGCCACAGCACCACTTCCAGCTTTTTTCTTTTTGCTTATGTGGTGCTGAGGAATTGAACCCAGGGGCCTCAGGCATGCAAGGTAAGCACTCTACCACTGAACCACCTTCCCAGCCCCCTCACAGACTTTTTAATATTTGGCTTCCTCTCAGACCCAAAGTGATGAAGCCAAGCAAAAATAGATTGAAACTTTTGAAACTGTGTCAAAATAAAATTTCCTGCTTTTTAGCTGTACTAGAAATATTCATATAGTGATAAAAATCAAATACAGTAAATACGTAATAGGATCTTACTCCACAGGAAGTGTATTTTCAACCAAATAGAGAATTCCTCCCATCCCCAACCTATGTCAACATATTAACCATTAACAAAGTTAAAGGTATTTTTTTGTGGCTGATTAAAGACAGTTGTTTTTAAGTTACACTAACATAACCAAAGAATGTGGTATTACTTTCATCTATTTTACATTATAGGATAAGCATCCCTAATCAAAACCCCAGAATGGAAAAGGTCTAGCACTCAAAAAGTTAGAGATTGGCTGGGCATGGTGGCTCAAGTCTGTAATCCTAGCTACTCAGGAAACTTGAGATCTGAGGATCACAGTTAAAAGCCAGCCCGGGCAGGAAACTCTATGAGACTCTTATCTCCAATAAATCACTCTAAAAACTGGAAGTAGCACTGTGACTCAAGTGGTAGAGCACTGCTAGCCTTGAGCTGAAGAGCTGAGGTACAGCGCCCAGGCTCAGAGTTCAAGCCCTACAACCAACCAAAAAAAAAGTTTGAGATAGTAAAGCATTTTGCTTTGCTGATTAATGGAAGTAGAGACAGAAGTGGATGTGTGGCTGTGAACAAAAAAGCCAACTGAGAATGTGAGGCCTTGAATGTAAGCTTAAGCATCAGCAAAAATTAAAGACTTTTTCAAAAAAGATATTCAACCAGAAAAGTTTATGCAAAGGTTTCAAAATCAAAAGTATTGCAAAATCCCCACCACTACAAAAAAAAGCTTCAAAAGCTGAAACCCATCTAATTCAAACGTTTTCATCTGTGTCATATGTCTATGAAATAACAAATTCTAAATATTGTTTTCAATGATTTTCTTAAATCATTGAATATGAAAAATATGCAAGTGTCATCCTTTGTAGTATTTTCTACAACACTCTAAGCTACAAAAAGCTCAAAAGGCTACAATTTTAGATGAATTTTAGATTGAATCTAGTTTAATATAATTAAATATTTAAAAATTTACTTTATGACTGAGACCAAATGTAGACAATAATCTTGCTATATAAGCTCTGGGTTAAAATTAAATAAGGATGTGATATAAAGATGTCCCAAAGCAATGACCAAGCTGTTCACTGATGATATCTCTTCTGTTAATTTGCAACACAAGAACATTCACAGACAATAGTACTACTTCCTCTAAAGAATTGAGTAGGCCTAAACCACAAGAACCATTGAACCATCATCTCTTCTCCATAGTAATTATAAGGAACAAAGTATACAGTGCCAGGCATGGTGATAAATTTCTGGAATCCCAGCAGTTGGTGAAGTAAAGAAGATTGGGAATTTAAGGCCAGTCTGGGCTACGCACTTGCTTACTTTTAAAAAGATCATGTAATTAATGGAAAAGAAGAGATGGTTAAAACACAGTAGAAAGCATTTTCAAGTACAAAAACCCACACAAGTTTTCTTTTAGAAAACAAACAATACTGTTTAGAATTCTCTAATTCCACTCTTATGTAATACTAAATGAATGCAATACTTACTTTACCTACCTGTAAAATGGTCTTCTCTATAAAAATATGAGAGAGCATCAACACTCAAAGATTTTTAGAAACAAATTTATTTATAGAAACTTGCAAAATGTTTTGATCACAATTTTCTTGGTAATAATTAGCAGAAACAAGAGGGGTATCAACATATACTGTCAGTGGTACTTAATACAGAATATAAGATTGCTTATCCACTAGTTTTCCATATTCTAATTTTTAACAAACATAGAAAAGAAACAATATATATGAAACATTTGCTCAATATTTTTAAATTATCTTTCTAATTGGATGGATATTTCAATTTTAAGACTATCTCCTGACATGGTTGAGGGCTTGCCTACCTTTAACATGGTCCTAGGTTTGCTCCCTAGCACCATAAGAAAAAAATCTCCAAATTAAATGACCTTTCATTTTTTTTTTGGGGGGGGGGCAATAAATAATATTCTGGAGCTTGACTCAGGGCCTTAAGCTTTTTCAATTAAGTTGGTGCCCCACTACTTGAGCCATGCCTTTAGTTCTGACTTTTTGCTAATTAATTGGAAATAAAGATTTCAATAATTTGTCTACCCAAGCTGGCTTCAATCTGGAATCCTCAGATCCAGCCTGTAGGAATGAGCCAATAGTCTCCAATACAACAATTCTGGAAAAATATTAGCAACTTCACAAATTTACAATTTTTCAAAGAACATTAAGGACACACTTGATAAACAATCTACAATATTTTTCACTTGCAGTTGAAAACATAAAAGTACTGAATGAGTAAAAAAAAAAATATCACTTTATAAATGAATAGTTGGCAGTTTGCGTTATTTAAGTTTTAAAGTAGATCAACCACCTTGCTCGGTGGTAGCACACACCACAACCAGCACTGGAGAAATGGATGCTGAAGGATATGGAGATGGACACTAGCCTGGGCTACACAGTAAGAACTTGTTTATAAAACAGCAAGAGGAATATGAACTACTAACTATGAGCTATTATTGACTTATTCAAACAGTAATGTTTCCTTTATCCTTGGATAACAAGATTCCTTACAGTATGAAAAGAGACCATCCTTTTACTGATGAAAGGCTTCTAATCTTATTCGGTTTGGATCTTCAGGATGTCTCAAGGCAATTCCATTGCGCAGCAGCAGCTCAATATAAGGTGGCCAAAAGGAAGCATTAATTTGGACATAGGGATCATGTGGAACATCAAACATTCTATTTATAAGGATCTAGGAAAAAAAATATTCAAAATATACTTCAATTGGGAATGAAGTTTTCCACCAAAGAATATTGACTTCTTACTTTGAATAATTGTTAAATTTTAAATATTACAGTGGTTTGATTTTTTTAAGACTACAAATATGATTGGATATGAAAAGTTTTTAAACAAATGTCTGCATCTTAACTTTTGAAAACATTTCCTAAGCCCTGGCTATAAAGCATTTACAATTCTTCTATTTCTTTTAGGATTAACAATTTTTAGGATAAAAATAATATTAAATATAAAATTCATAACATAGTTGGAAATGACATGCCTATGAAGCACATAGTGGGGAGGGTTGATTCCCAGCAAAACATACACAAACTCACACACAGAGTTAAAAATTAAAATTGGGCACTGGTGGCTCATGCCTGAAATTTTAGCTACTCAGGAGGCCAAGATCTGAGGCTAGCAGTTCAAAGCCAGGCAGAGAAACTATCTCTAATTAACCATCAAAAAGATGGAAGTGGAAGGTGTGGTCCTAATGTGAGATTACCAGCCTTAACTGAAAAAGCCAAGTGAAAGCTTGAGGCCCTGAGTTTAAGCCCTCATGCCAAACACACACACACACACACACACACACACACACACACACACACACACACACACACTCTCTCTCTCTCTCTCTCTCTCTCTCTCTCTCTCTCTCTCTCAAATAAACAAAAAAAAAATTGACAAAATAACTTGAAGAAGTTCAAAGTTGGCAAGTGTGTCTTAATATTTCAGAAAAATGAAATCCTGAAGTAAAATTAGAAAGGCTGTAAAAAGAAACAAAGACACAAAGAGAAAAATAAAATCCCCGTTCCAGTCCTCAAAACCCCTAATCTATAGATAAATCTTCAAAGTAGTCAAGCGTATCCTTATCTTGTCCTGCAGTTCCTCTCCTCATTATCTTTTTTATTTATTTTGTGTGGGTACGCTAGTCTTAGGGGTTGAACTCAGGGCCTGGGTGCTATCATCCCTGAGCTTTTGTGCCCAAGGCTAGTGCTCTACCTCTGACCCACAGCACCATTTTTGGCTTTCTGGTGATTAATTGGCAATAAAGAGTTCCATGGATTTCCTTGCTTGAGCTGTATTTGAAACATGATCCTTAGATCTCAGCCTCTAGCTAGGAATACAGGCTTGAGCCACCAGTGCCCCAGATTAAGCTCCATAATTTTTTTAAAAATTGTATTCAATAGCCATATGCTAATGAAAAATTATCCACATGTACATGAGTTAATATTTTTCAGTATTTGTCATGTGAAGTAACAATTTTCATTGAATATGGTTATGACATCCTTCTGGGCATAAGTGGCTCATACCTATAATCCTAGCTACTTGAGAGGCAGAGAATTAGAGTATTATGATTAGAGGCCAGCCCTGGCGTAAAAATTCACAGAACCCTTTTTCTCAACTCATAGTATACTACCTGGGTGGCTGAGGTTGGCTAGATTGCTTTTCCATGCTTGTCTGAGCAGAAAAGTATGCAAGACTCCATCTCAATGCAGGGAACTTACATGAGTGTAATATGCCAGTTATTCCAGCCACTTCAGGAGCCTCTTGTATGAACTGTAGTCCAGAAAGAGGCTGGGGAAGAATCAAGACCCTATATCTGAGGATCACAGTTCAGGGCAGGAAAGTCCATCAGATCTTATCAACAACAAACCACCAAAAAACCAGAACTAGAGTTGTTGTTCAAATGGTAGAGCACTAGCTTTAAGAAGAAGGGGGGGGGGGGGGGGGGGGAGGCTGAGTGGCCTGGGAAGGTGGCTCAGTGGTAGAGTGCTTGCCTAGCATGCATGAGGCCCTGGATTCGATTCTCAGCACCACATAAACATAGAAAGAGGAAGAGGAGGAGGAAGAAGAGGAAGAAGAGGAAGAGGAGGAAAAGGAGGAAGAAGGGGGGAGGGGCAGGCACTGGTGGCTCATGCCTGTAATCCTAGCTGCTCAGGAGGCTGAGATCTGAGGATCACTGTTCAAAGCTAGCCTAGAAAGGAAAGTTCATGAGACTCTTATCTCCAATTAACCATCAGAAAACCAGCAGTGGTGCTGTGGCTCAAGTGGTACAGCACTTACCTTGAGCTGAAGAGCTCAGGGACAACACCCAGGCCCAGAGTTCAAGCCCCACAACCAACCAAAAAAAAACAAAACAAAAAAAAACCCAAAAACCTAGCTCATGCACAGGGCCTAGGCCCTGAGTTCAAGACCAAGGACTGGCATCAAAAGAAAAATAATATTTGAGGTACAGCTATTGGAGTGGTTGAGTATCTGCCAAGCAAGTCTGAGGCCCAGAGTTTAAATCCCAGGACAGACAAAAAGGAAGAAAAGAAAAGCAATAACATTCCAAAGTAAACACAGAATTTCAGTATATAAACAGAAAAGGCTAGTATTATGCTAATAGATTCTAATTATATATCCAATAAATGTTTATATATTTCCTTTCAAAGCAATATAACTCATTAAGAAAGATACACTGAGTTGTGGAGATGGGAGGGAAGGGATGGTAGGGGAAAAACAAAGGAGGAGGCAACATTGCTTGATAAGGAATGTACTCATTACCTTGCTCATGTAATGGTAACCCCTCCGTACAGTATTTTCACAATAAAAAAAGTATTAAAAAAAAGATACACTGAGGCACTACTTACTGGGATAAAAGCAAAGAATTTTTTTTCACCTAATATAATGAAAGAAAGTTATTTTTTCAGGTACTGGATTTTAAACTTAGGACTTCACACTTGCTAGGCAAAACCTCTACTAAAGACACATGTTTCAGCCCTTGAAAGTCTTCTAAACTCACCACTTTTTTTTTTTAAAAAGTACATTATAGTTAATACCTGTTCTTCCTAAATTCCTCTATGATCAATTTACCATGGATTTATGATACCAATAATTGTTGTATCACTTGATCCATGCCTTAAGCTCAACTTTTTTTGCTGGTTAGTTAAAGATGGAATCTCACAGACTATTTTCGGACTAGGCTAGCTCCAAACCTCACTCCTTCAGGTCTGAACTTCCTGGGAAGTAAGATCACAGTTGTCTCATTTAAATATTTTTAAACATATTAAGTACTTAATATGAGTTTAATAATGACAAGTTCAAATACATTTTTAACAGAATAAAATTTATAAGACAAAATTTATAACACAAAATGAACTTCAAACAGAAAAAACTGGAATTAATCTTTCTGTGCATAATGATAAAAGATGATTAAAGAAAAATTTGATTACTTTCTACAACTGTGGAACACTCACTCAAATATTTTAGAGTATAAAGTTGTTGATAAGGTCTGTCATTATAACAACACAGGATTTTAATATGCAACTATTAATATCACATGTTGGGAATATAGGTAAGGGCTGGACTTCAATGACAATTTCTTTTAAAAATAAGGATATCCTTCCTAATATACGAAAACACTAATACCAACTGTATAGTAGAATTAATTATAAATATATTTAATAATGTCAAAGAATTAAAGCAAGATTTTTGTTTTTAAGCTTCAGTGCAACTATTCAGAAAGGACTAATTCTAAAACTATACAAAACACTTACCTCAATTATCTCATTCAATGTTATCAGCTGTGCAGTTGGTTCAACGTTTGTCTTTAAGAAAAATGAAACATCTGACATTGGCATAATATTGAATTATATTGCAAGACTTTTTAAATTAACATTTCTTAGGTATAGTAGTATAAGGTAACTTTTACAAAGCTCATAATTAGGTGATTTTTAAAGGGATCTTGAACATTATCTGTTGTACTTAAGTAGGATTCATAAAAAGAAATTTAAAGTTTCTATGACATATAAAACATAACTCAAGCTATCCATAAACTTATAATACATTACACATATTATATATAAGTACATAAAAATGTAATTTTTAAATCCCCTAACAAACAACATTGTGAAAATGCACAATCTCAACCTGGCTGGCCTTAAGACTTCTGCACAGCATATTCTGTCTTAAGAGCAATGTCTTGCTAATCTTGAGATTAAAAACAAATTCTACACATTTTTAAAAATTCAAAGAAAATAAAAACTTGACTGGACATAGTATTGTACTCAGAAAACCATAGGAAGCTATGGTAGGAGCATCAAGAGTTCAAAGCCATCAGCACTATATACTCAATAATTTCAGATCAGCCTAACCTACAGACACAACAGAACAGGATGGTACAAGTAGATAACCATTTACCATTTTAATTGTTAAGCCAGGGTTTTACTGTGTTTCCAGGGCTAGTGTCAAAGTCCTGAATTCAAGTAATAATACTATTCTCTTTAGCACCTCAAACCCTTTTCTGTTTTTTGGGGTTTTTGTTTATTTATAGTGGTGGAAAACAAAAACAGGCATAGAGGATGCTAGAAAAGTGCTTACCACTGATTTAACTTAAGCAAATATCTTACCATTTTATAAAACGTGCCAACAGTTATTCTACATCATTCTAAAAAGAGTGAAGAGCTAGGTGCCAGTTACTCACACCCATAATCCTACTTAGGAGGCTGAGATCTGAGCACCACAGTTCAAAGCCAGTCTGGAAAGAAAGACTTTTATCTCCAATAAATTACCAAAAAAGCTGAAGTGGAGCTGTGTCAAGTAATAGAGCACTAGCCTTGAGCAAAAGAAGCTCTTCATGCCCCAGGATCAGCAAAATAAAAATAAAAATATAAAGAGCGAAGATATCAAATATGACTTAATAACCCCATGATGATTTCTGGTAATCAATGCATCTTTTTGGTGCTTAAAACCTCTGGCTGTATGAGTAAAGAAGTTTCATAGGTTAAAAAAATATAATTGAAATAAAAATGGGGAAAGTAGAATCAGAAAGTTTATGAGTTAACTGATGCAAAAAAGGATAGAGAGAGGCAAGAAATCATGACACTCAACTGGTCACTAGAAGAGTGTCATATATTTTCAGAAAGAAATGGATAAAATAGATGACAAAAGTCCCTAACAAATATGATGCCAAATATAATTTCAATGATAGGGGAAACAACACCTACTAATAAAATTAGAACTTCTTTTTTCCTTTCCTTAGTATTCTCACATTTATTTACTGTCTCTGAACACACCCTGGAGGAATAACTCAGTGGCAGAGCATAGGCTTAGCTCAATTTTCAACAGTAATTTTTAAAATCTGGTGTGAAATGCACATCTGAAATCACAGCACTCGACAGGCAGGAAGAGGCAGGAAGAGCCTGAATTTAAGACCAGTCTAGGTTAAGTAATAAAACCCTGTCTGAAAAAGAACTCAAATGTTATATTAAAAATATGCGAACAGAAAAAAACAAAGGGTTTTCTAGGTAGAAAACAAAGTATAAGTCACAAAAATGTGAGAAGTCACTACATAGTTGCTGAATCTGCAGCAGAATGGTTGGATTCTCTAAACATATAGACAAAGAATGACGAGGTAAAGCTAAACAAAGCCTAATGTATAAATCCATTTGCCTAAGAATCATATAGACATCCTATCAGAGACCAAATATTTTTAGCTAAAAAAGACTAATACACTTAAGAGATCGTTCTGGTGACATTTTCAGCAATTTTTAAATTTTTTCAATTTCAATTTCAATTTTGAAAGCTTTTATTCATATATCGCTTTAAAGACTAGAGTTGAAGTATTCATAATCCATCACTGGATAAAACATTTGCACTTGTGGAAAAGACATTTTATCATAATTATTATTTAATCTAGATTAAGCTAACTGCTTAAACAAACATATTTTTGCCAACATTTAACTTACTTTTAAATATACATATAATCATTATGAAAAATTTGGGCAACATCTTGCCCATGTAATTGTAACCCCTCTGTACGCTATTTTCACAATTTAAAAAAAAAAAGGAAAAAAGAAAAAAGAAAAATTTGGGCAACAGTAAAAAGCATCAATCAAAACCATATACACAAAAAAGGCTATTTAAGACATAAGTATTTAATTAATACCATCTTATTTAATAGCCAAGCAGATTCTCATTTTTTAGTAAATATAATGGGATGATGGCAAATTTCTACCTTGTATCCATATATTTATATTCAAAACATGTAGGCTTTCCCTTTGAGCCTAACAAAAACAGAATCAAATACAATAATCTACATGAATGTCCTACCTTTTTCCTTTTAGTTTTTCCACCAGGCAGAGGAAAATAGTATTCAAGAAATTCACCCAGGGCAATCAAGAGTTTCTCCTTAAATTCTTTTATAGTGAGTATTTTAGCTTTCATCTCATTAGTCATTTCAAGTCTAAAAATATTAAAAGAAAAATATTTAGCTGAAAAACACCACATACATATTCCCAGTGGTTCGTAAAGTTAATAAAAATCTTTGTTGAAACTTCATGTCCTCCAACTAAATAGCTTTATGAAAGTAATAATCTGTACATAATGTAAGAAAACTAATAGTACTTCTCAGTTAAATCATTCATAAAAGATTATGTAATAGTGTTTGAAAATTAGTCCAAGCCAGACCCCAGTAGCTCATGCCTGTAATCCAAGCTACCCAAGAGGAGATATGAGGATAATGGCTCAAATTCAGCCCAAGAAGTCAACTTATGAGACTTAACCATCAAAAAGCAAGTGGAGCTGGGCACTGGTAGCTCAGGCCTGTAATCCTAACTACTCAAGAGGTTGAGGTCTGAGGATCATGGTTCAAAGCCAGCCCAGGCAGGAAGGTTCATGAGACTCTTATCTCCAATAAACCACTCTGAAAACCGGAAGTACTGTGGCTCAAGTGGTAGAGTGCTTACCTTGAGCTGAAGAGCTCAGGGACAGCACCCAAGGCCCAGAGTTCAAGGCCCACAACAGACACAGACACACAAAGACACACACACAGACACACACACACACAGACACAGACACACACACACACACACACACACACAGACACACACACACACACACACACACACACACACACACACACACACACACACACACACACACACACACACACACACACACACACACACACACACACACAGCCTAAGTATAACTGGGCTCAAACGGCAGAGCACTAACCTTGGAAAAAAAGCTTTGGAACAGCACCACCCAGGTCCTGAGTTCAAACCCCAGTACATACACATACACACAAAGTTAGACAAGGCTCATGTCTTCTTTTCCTGTAATTCATGTAACACAAATTACCTTGATTTAGAATGCGCCTCAATCTGACTTTCCAGTTCACTTTGGATTGTAGTAAGTGTGTCCATTATTTGTTGCTGTTCATCCAACCACTGCTGCTCTCTTTAAACAAAGAAAAACAAAGCAAATAGCCAAATGAAACTATAAATAACAATTAAACATATGAATTAATGGTTAGTCATAATTATAACACAAATATACCTTGCAAAGTCTTCCTTTAACTTTTTATTCTTTGACTGAATAGTGGGTAGTATAATTTCAAGATCATGTTTCAATTTTTGTAACTGGAACAAAATAATTGATGTTAATCTCTCAGTTTTTAATCCTATAAAAATAGTTTTGTTTCTGAATTTATAGATTAGTTTAGGATACCTCAATTCAGAAGTCAATAGTAAAAATGCTCAGCAGAAATCCTTTGAAAGGTTTAATAGTAAGTGCTACATTTTTGTGACATTATAAATCTATAAAAATAAAGAAGCCAAGTGTTAAGTCTGAAATTCTATGCCGCTTTATATGTGCCTTCCTATGTATCACTTCCATTTAGCTATTCATCTATACCCTTTTGTAATTTATTTATTTTTTTTGGTTGGTTGTGGGGCTTTTGTTGTTGTTGTTGGTCGTGGGGCTTGAACTCTGGGCCTAGGTGTTGTCCCTGAGCTCTTCAGCTCAAGGCTAGCACTCTACCTCTTGAGCCACAGCGCCACTTCTGGTGTTCGGAGTGGTTTATCAGAGATAAATCTCACAAACTTCCTGCCCGGGGCTGGCTTTGAACCATGATCCTTAGATCTCAGCCTCCTGAGTAGCTAGGATTACAGGCATGAGCCACGGGCACCTGGAGGTTGTGGGGCTTATTGAACTAAAAGCCTGGACTGTATCCCTGAGCTGTTTTGCTCAAAGTTAGGGATCTATCACTTTGAATCATAGCACCACTTCTGGTTTTCTGGTGGTTAACCAGAAGTAAGAGTCTCACACACTTTCCTGCTCAGGATGGCTTCAAACTGCAATCCTCAGATCTCAGCCTCCTGAGATGCTAAGATTACAGGCATGAGCCACCAGCACCCAGCCCATAGTATCTTTTTATAATAAATAAAATGTGTCTCAAGTTCTGTGAGTCTCTCTACCAATTACTAAATTCCACTGCCACATTTTTTTCTATACTTATCATGGGATCACTTCTACAGGTCAGTACCAACTTTGTGCCAGTAGTCCTGGACTACTATCACAAAGAACCATAGATTAGGCAGCTTAGAAAAAGTAGAAATTTCTCAAAGTTCATTATGCTGGAAAATTTAAGATTCAGGTGCCAGCATATTTCCTAACTGGCAAAATTACTTCCTTATACACAGTGTCTTCCCGCTGTATCCTCATATGATGTTAAGAAAAACCTTTTGATGTTCATAGACACTTGGAAGGTATTTGTCCCATTTAGAAGGAGGACAGAATCACTGAGAAGTCTAAACTCCTAAAATGCTTATATTAGGGATATTTCAACACAGAAATTATTGTTCTAGGAGGAGGCAGAGCAACACAAATATTTACTCCACAGCAGAAGATGTGTTCAGTCATTTAGCTGTGTTTAGTCCTTTTGTTTTTAGGAATAATGTTTAATCAGCTAAAAAAATAGAAAAGCTATTAATGTTTACATATTAACTAGAAACATCAACAATAGTTCTGATATGAAAATTGACCTCAAATTTAAGTCTCTAAAATATTCAATTTCATATTTAAAATTATTTTAATATTTATACTTTAAATCTTCACATGTAAGGGTAGTTTCATCCTAACACATTATAAACTGATTCTAAAACAGTTCTAGTTATAAGTAATTTGAAGTTACTACAAATTTTTGCATTATTTACCTCTTCCTTCCCTAATGTAGTTAGAACATCATCAGTCAGAGGAATTACTACAAAAACAAAACACAAAATTATAGATATAGTTAATTCGCTATCATTTGATTTTGTGGTTTTCTAAGCTTACTCACACTTCATTTAAATACAGACATTTTATGGTGTGTGTGTGTGTGTGTGTGTGTGTGTGTGTGTGTGTGTGTGTGTGTGTGTGTGTGTGTGTGTGTGTGTGTGTGTGTGTGTGTGTGTGTGTGTGTGTGTATGTATATATAGTTTTAAGGAATTATTTGTAACATCTTTGCATACCTAACAAAGTAAATGTAACTTGGGGTAAACTTAATCATAGTTACGAATTTTGTTTTCAGTATCAGTTTTTCTAAGTTCTCAAAAGCAATCAATGATCTTGTGCTCCTCAAATTTTTCTCTATAGTCATATGATTGAAACTCTGTATACATATCCATACATACTGTATACATATCCATACATATATACATATAAACAAATATAAACATAAAAGCTTTATATCATTATTGGCTTTACAAGACTAGAATCTTATATTTACTATCCTTTTCTTATTTTCACTCAAGTAGCATTTACATAGAAATACTTCTTACACATCTGGTAACATCTCATTTTAATAACTGTTTAATATTCCATATTGAAAATGTGTTGAGTGATTCACCTAAAACTGAGCACTAACTTGGTACTTAGCTTTTAGTTATATATATATATGTTATATATATATATATATATATACATTAGTTATATATATATTAGTTATATATATATATTAGTCATACATATATATAAGAATATATTAAGTATCCTTTTATGTCTTTATGTACAGGCATTTTTACTTCCATGGAACATATTTCAAAAAGTGGAATTTTGCAGAATTATGTACTTTGAATTGTAGAACATGCTACTACATATATCTCTAATAGGTACATTCTACAGATAGAGTCTATTACCTAAATATATTCCAAAAATAGATAGGGCAATAACTTAAACACATAACAAAAAATTATATATAATTTTCTACAATTTTTACCAGAGAAAAAAAACCTACCATTTAATTTATCTAGCATTTAATTTATAATGAAAAAATTGTTCAGTCCTCACAAGAAGAAAGCTTACCTTTCCTAATCAATGTCTATTTAAAATAACTTCAAATGATAGACTACTGAAAACTTTTAAGGAGAACTGGGCACTAATGGCTCATGCCTGTAATCGTAGCTACTCAGGAGACTGAGATTTGAGGATCACAACTCAAAGCTGGCCAGGATATATATAAACCCAAGACAGTCTTACCTCCAACTAACCGACAAAAAGCCAAAGAGGAGCAGTAGCTCAAGTGGTAGAGTGCTATCCTTTAACACAAAAGTTCAGGGACAGAGCTGGGAATGTGGCTTACTGGTAGATTGTTTGTCTAGCATACATGAAGCCCTGGGTTCGATTTCTCAGTACCACATAAATAGAAAAGGCGAGACGTGGCATGTGGCTCAAGTAGTAGCACTAGTCTTGAGCAAAAAAATCTCAGAGACAGTGCATCAGCCCTAAGTTCAAGCCCAGGACTGGCAAAAAAAAAAAAAAGTTATCAGCCAGGCACTGGTGGCTCACGCCTACTGTAATCCTAGCTACTCAAGAGGCTGAGATCTGTGGATCTTGGTTCAAAGCCAGCCAGGGAAGGAGTGTCCGTGAGACTATTATCTCCAATTAATCACCAGACAACTGGAAGTGGTGCTGTGGCTCAAGTGGTAAAGTGTTCCCCTTAAGCTGAAGTTCTTAGGGACAGCACTCAGGCCCAGAGTTCAATCCCTATGACCGACCACTCATCCACCATCCCCCTCCCCAAAAAACCAAAAAACAAAAACAAAAAAAAAATGCTCAAGGACAGAATACAGGTTTCAAGTCCCAGAACTGGCATCCAAAAAGAAAAAAAGAAAAAATAGAATTTTTTTTTAAATATGTGTCATAGGCCTGAATAAAACTGCTTGTAAGCAATGCCAGGTATGGTTACTGTTAATATCTGTAAAACTGTCCCTTAAAAGACTATGTATTAAGAAATGAACACCAGCCTATAACACTACAGGGAGATGATGGAACCTTCAGGTCGTTAGATCCCCATAGGGAAAAGGGTGTCGTTGGAACACTGCATCTGAACTGGGAAAAAAGATAAAAATAAAGAATAAAAAAAAATATAAACTAAGAGTCTGGGCACATATGGCTCACACCGATAGTCCTAACTATAAATTTAAGAGTATAGGCATCTCTGGCTCACACCTATAATCCTAATTACCCAGGAAACTGAGATCTAAGATTTGAGATTCAGAGCCCGCCTGAGCAGGAAAGCCTGTGACTCTTAACTCCAATTAACCACCAGCTGTGGCTTAAATAGTAAAATGCCAGCCTTAAGTGAGAAAGCTAAGACACAGAATCTGGCCCCTGAGTTCAAGTCCCAATGTTGACAATAAAAGCAAACAAGGTTAGTAGAGTGGTTCACATGATAGTGTTATATCCATTCACAGATGTTAGGATCAATCTCCACAACTACAAAAGCAAAAACAAATAGAAATGCTAATGAAAGACTAATAGGTATTAATGAAGATATGAAATGATATTGGAATTCACAGAAAAATAGCAATTAAAACAAACATTTAGTTGAAACTGGGAAAATGAGATTTCCTAGGACTGCTCTTTAGGGAATGTCAAAAACTGAAGTAGTGAATGATAAGCCTACAAAGACGATTAAGAATGAAATGGAAGAAGTGGCTCAAGGCAAGCACTCTACCACTTGAGCTGAAGAGCTGAGGGACAGTGCTCAGGCCCAGAGTTCAAGCCCCATGACTGACAAAAAAAAAAAAAAATGAAGAGGCATTTTCTTTTTTCTTTAAAACAAAAAGTGACAGAGGGATCAAAATTATTATTATTGAAGTCAGACTCATATGCTTTTATAGAATAATCACAAAACAATGTGCAATTATTTTTAATGAAGTATATTCCTAGTACATCTGGATCATAGCTCAAGCAGACCAAATGGATCATGCAAACTCTTGAGATCACTAAATTCATTTGCCATTAATATGTCTGCCAAAATACAAACTTAAAAAAAAATCTTACTTTCAGGTGTTTCATTCTGCCATTGCTTGAATTCAGCAGTCAAGCATTTCACTTGCATCATCAGTAATGATAGCTACAAAAAAAAAGAATGAAAATTAGGTATTTTTTGTAGAAATATGTTCTTCTAAATGACATTTGGTAATTCATCAGGAATTTATACTGTATATAATGAAAAGTAGAGGTGCAATTATATTTTCTTCCACATGGATATAGTTGTGTAACTACTGCTATCTAATTATTTTTATTATTTCTCAAAGATCTGAACTAACAGACTTCTCATGTTTTACATTTTTTTTTATTCTTTTTTTGTAGTACCAGGGCATGAACTCAGAGCCGGCTACTATCTAGGTCATCAGCTCTCCTTTTCTTAATTATACAGTCTTGCATATTTGCCTCATTGGAACTTTGACCATAATCATCCTCCCAAGTATTTTAAACTCTTTTTAACTCTTAATTGTATTCACTTATCTATCCATAAGCCAATCTCATAGTTCTCTTACTATAATGGATATCTTACCTAGAATAAAAATCAATTAAAGTTCTACACAGATTGTAAAAATATCTTATTAGATCTAACACAAATTAAGATTACACCTGCTCATATGGAGGTTCCTCAAAAGACTCCACATAGAGCTCCCCTGACCCAGCAATCCCACTTTTGGGCATTTAACCAAATGATCACAACAAGACCACACTAAAGCTACCAGCACAACTATATTTATTGCAGCATTATTTACCATAGCTAAGATATGGAACCAATCCAGATGCCCCTCAGTAGATGAATGGATCAAGAAAATGTGGTATATATACACAATGGAATTCTATGTCTCCATCAGAAAGAATGTCATTGCCCCATTTGTTAGGAAATGGAAAGACTTGGAAAAACTTAAGTGAAGTAAGCCAGGCCCAAAGAAACATAGGTTCCATGGTTTCCCTTATTTGTAATAACTGGTGTATGTCTGAGTCAACCAGAAAAGGTCACATAAGTTGATGTTAGGGAAATGAACCCCAAGATAAGTATTCAAATGTTTTTTTTTTCTTTCATGCAATTGTTTCTAACATATTTATAAGATTATTTCTTGGGGCTGGGAAGGTGGCTCAGTGGTAGAGTGCTTGCCTTGCATGCCAGAGGCCCTGGGTTCGACTCCTCAGCACCACATAAGCAAAAAGAAAAAAAAAAGCCGGAAGTGGCGCTGTGGCTCAAGTGGTAGAGTGCTAGCCTTGAGCTGAAGAGCTGAGGGACAGCGCCCAGGCCCAGAGTTCAGGCCCCATGACCGGACCCAAAAAAAAAAAAATTATTTCTTTGTTGCTTTGTATGTCCCTCCCCCACAGTATAACCCCTGCTTTCACTGTATTTGATGTTGGTATAATTTGTGGAGGGGAAGGGAAAAACAAATGGGTTAAATAGGGATACAGGTGGACCCATTGCAACAATGAGATATACAAATTATTATGTCGAAAATGAACTTTACAACTTTGGTGGGGGGGGGGGAGGGTTGAGTAAGGGGAGGGGGAGGGTATAGGAAGGGATGGGAAGGGGAAACAAAGGAGGAGGCAACAATGCTTGATAAGAAATGTACTCGTTATCTTGCCCATGTAATTGTAACCCCTCTGAACGGTATTTTCACAATTAAAAAAAAAAAAGATTATACCTGCTCTAATTTATTTTTAATGCTCTAATTTTTTACAGCTTATCCTAGTAAGAAACCACAAAAAAAAAAATCACTCAATTGTTAAATATATATCTGACTAGTAAAGGTAATTTTAAATTTGCCTTTTTTTAAAATTATAACTTGTTCCAAAATACTTTAGAAGTAGTGCTATAGCTCAAGTGGTACAAGTGCTAGTTTGAGCAAAAGGAGCTTAGGGACAGTGCCCAGGCCCAGTCCAAAATACTTTAGATCTTCCAACTCTTTTATTAAAGAGTAGGATTTTTTTAAACTGATAGCACAAGTATTAACTATTATATTTGGAACATATGTAGATATCCTTTTCCAAAAAGAATGAATTACACATACCTATTTTTCAGCAAGAGAAAAAAAGGTTCATACCTGTGCATTTGAATTAGTGAGTGTCTCAGTTCCAATAAGCGACCATTTATTCTGACACTTAATTTAAAAAGAAAAAAAATAGTTAAACACTGTAACCTACACTATTCCACTTCAATTTAATATTCCTCCACAACATACAAATACCTGATTTAAGAGTCTGTCGAGCCAGGTCCAATGGCTCATGTCTGAAATCCTATTTACTCAGGAGGCTGAGATCTGAGGATCACAGTTCAAAGCCAGCACAGGCTGGAAAGCCCAGGCTGGAGACTCTTATCTCCAATAAACCACTAGAAAACCGGAAGTGCCACTGTGACTCAAGCAGTAGAGCACTGGCCTTGAGCTGAAGAACAGCACCCAGGCCCAGAGTTCAAGCCCCATGACCACCAATACCAACAACAACAAAAAAGAGTCTGCCGAAGTGAATACAAACAAAAAGAAAAAAGGAGCAATACTGTAATAAAAGAAAAAGAGCTAATTTGATTCATAAGCTACATAACAGAAAAAATAGGGAGGAAATAAGAGGGAAAGTATTGTAGAAAAATAATGAAGTATGTGAGAAACTAAAATCATAAGGAAAAAAAGCTTTGAAGAGATTTTGTTTCTGTGCCATTAAAAACAACCAAAACCCTTAATATCTTAGAGGTAAAAAATGAGTAATCTTAATCTTGTTTCTAGTTGTAATATTTGTAAAAACTTTTTTTTTATTGGTAGTTGTAGTTCTAGGGATTGAACTCTGGATGTTGCACTTGCTAAGCAGGTGCTTTACTGCTTGAATCACCCCCCCCCAAGTCTTTTTGGTTTTGGTTATTTTTAGGGCACAGCCTTACCTGGGTTGCCCAAGACCACAATTCTTCTATTAATCCTGCTAATTACTCTTGATATAATAGAGATGAAAGGTATTTGCTAGCCTAGCTTTCACTTGTTGAGAGGAACCTCATGAATGATTTTGCCTGGCTGGTCTGGAACCATGATTTCTATACCTCCCAAGTAGCTACGCTTATAGGAGAGTGAGCTAAGGTATCCTGCTTTTCTTTAAAATGATACTTTTAAATCCAAATTTCTATATTGAAAAAAATACCAAAAAAGGATTAGACAAATTATCTAGTTAATACAATAATGATACAGAGTACCAAGATTTCAGCTGAAATTTTTCTTTAAAAAAGACTGCTTAATAATGCTCTGCTCTAAATCTTCACTGAAGAGGATGTAAAAACTACCTGTGGTCTGTATTATACACTGCTATTTTAACAAAGTTTTACAGAAATAGTGTACACAAAAACTGGTTCTATCTCATTATAACAGAATTACATCTACATTTCAAACTTATAAATTCATGTTTCTACTCATAAGGATATGTTGCTTCCACACTTCTGTATTTTCTATTTTAGAAACTAATTCCCAACCACACATTGGTCCAATCTATGGCCTAAAATAATATCCTTGGCAATTTAATTCCTCTACATTCTCATTCACTAACTTCTATGTACTTCTGGTTCTATCACTTTCCTATCTTTTTTCTTTTTTTGGGGGGGGGCGGGGGAAGCGCAGTTACTAGACTGATTTCAGGGCTTCTGACCTCATGCTTGGCCTTTTCCACTCATGACTGATGCTCTGCCATGCCTCTATTTCCAGCTTTTAATAGCTAATTGGAGATAAGAGTCTTAGGGCATTCCTGCCTGAGTTGACTTAGAACCTTTATTCTCAGACCTCAGTCTCCTGTGCAGCTTGACAGTGATTTACGCCTTCATTATTTCTGTTATTTTTTGAAGGGGAGAGTGGTACTCACATTTGCTAGGCAGGCACTCTACTACATGAACTATGTCTCCAGACCCTTTCTGCACTCATTTTTTTAGGTAGAGTCACACTTTATGCCAATATCACCTGAGTTGTGATCCTTGTACTTGTGCTTCCTTGTTATTGGAGATGACCAATTGTGTGACACTGCATCCAGCCTAATTGAGATGGAGAATTTGTTTTGCTTGGGTTGGCCTGGGATCACAATTCCCAGTTCTATGCTTCCTAAGTACATAGGATTATAAACTTAAGCTTATAGCCACTGCACTGGGCACCTAAATTACTTAACAGGACTACTACTCAAGCTTCCTAAACTTCTACCTGTGACCTCACTCTTCTGCATTATTTTCTTCAAAGCTTTCAGAATAATTTTTTGATTGTCATGCCAATTCTGTGTTTGTAATCTTTCAGTGGCTTCTCATAGTATACATTCAACAAAATCCTTTGTGTTCCTCCTCCTTTTTCAGTTTAACAAGGCTTTCTCCTAATTACATTTCCATTAAAACTCTACTTAAGAGTTTTAAATTCTTCAAATTGCATTTCTACTCCAACACTTTTTTTTGACTTGCCCAAAGTCCTGAGGCTTGAATTCTGGGCCTGGTCATTGTCCCTGAGCTCCTTTTGCTCAAGGCTATCACTCTACCACTAGAGCCACAGACCAGCTTCTGGCTTGTTCTGTGATTTAACTGGAGATAAGAGTTTCACAAACTTTCCTGCCCAGGCCAGCTTTGAGCCATAATCCTCAGACCTTAACCTCTTTGAGTAGCGAGAGTTAAAGGCATGAGCCACTGACGCCCAGACTAACACTTCTAATATTGTATTATATACAATATAATTATCTTACCTATACAAGGTAATAATCTCAAGAGCAGAAACTACCACAATTTTTCCTTTTTCAATAGCTGATTTTGTATATGCTTTTTGAGTAAGTTTTTATAGGTCTAAAACCTATATAATTATCACACATGATAACAGCTTTGGAGAACCAGCAAAATTATTTCCTTCCTAATCATAATTGCTATTGAAATTCATGTAAATATTGTAATACCTGACAAATCAATTTTATCTTTTGATACTTACATTTTCCATATCTTTCCAGAGTTCTTCACATTCTTTAATAAGTTCTTCTTCAGAATCTATAACAAATTCTGTACCTGTAGTACTATCTGGATCTAGATCTTGCTCAACCACAGACATATCCTTGGTGATTTTTCTTAGCCTTAAAGGAAAAACTAAAATAAAAAGTATTCATTTAAGATTTATTGATATGATACATATTGATGAGGCTGTTTTTGATACAGTATACAAGGTATTTGTTTGCTGAGTATCATGTGAATTAATAGCAGGATTGTAGTCACTATGCAAAGAAATGAATTATAAATACAAATTAACAATAGTAAAGGTCGTGGAGATTCCTAAGCATTTCACTACTTATAACTTTTAGTGTCACCTCCAAGCTCCAAATTCTACATTGTTAAAAAAAATTTTTTTTAAAACTAAGGAGAAAGATCATTCAAGAATAAAAAAAGGTGGTCACAAAAAAAAAAGAATTATTTATTGAACACATTACCTGTCAGATACTCATCTAGGTAAAATACAGCAAAGATCAACATAGACAAAAATCCTTCATTCTAAAGGAAAATATTAATATAGTATTTTAGTGAGTATAGACATTATGTACATTTATCCAGACAACAGAAAAGAACTAATGTCTGATCTTACAACTCCAATATGAAGTATATATCCAAAGGACAGAACATTGGTATATTGAGGAGATAACTGTACTCTCTCATGTTTACTGCAGCTCTAAATACAGTAGTCTAGATATGGATAATGCTTATAACACAGATGAATAAACGAAATGTTTCAACTTAAGAATGAAATGCTGTTATTTGCAGCAATATGTAAAAACAAATAACACATTATCACCTATATGTGAAAGCTAAAAAAAAAAAAAAACTCATAGAAATAAATACAGCAACCAAGACCAATTTCCTTAATGTATAATGAATGCCTGTAAGACCAACCAACCACCATTTAAGATAAAAACAAAAAACAAAAAACCTAAGGAAGTGATTCCCATCAAAGGGACCATCAATTACTTTAGGGGGAAAGGCTATAATAATCCTTCAACCAGGAATTTATAATACATGCAATTTTTTGTGTCTGAATTTTATTTTACAGTAAACAACAAAAACAACCCAAAAAAAGTGGGTTCGGGCTGGGAAGGTGGCTCAGTGGTAGAGCACTTGCCTTGCATGCATGAGGCCCTGGGTTCAATTCCTCAGCACCACATAAGCAAAAAGAAAAAAGCTGGAAGTGGCGCTGTGGCTCAAGTGGTGGAGTGCTAGCCTTGAGCTGAAGAGCTGAGGGACAGCACCCAGACCCAGAGTTCAGGCCCCACGACCAGACCCAAAAAAAAAAAAAAAAAAAAAGTGGGTAATGTCCATAAAAGGAGAATTCAAAGAAAAATTAACTTTTAAATACACAAAAAATACCTAAGCACCTATATTTTACAAAAATGCAAATTAACAAGTTTTAGTATTTATTCATACTACAACAATATAAAATTTGATAAGAAACAATATAGTCAAGCATATGGAAGGAGACCCAACTACTCACAGAATAAGCAACAATATTGGAGATTGAACTCAAGTCTTAACCATATTCTACCACTTAAGCCATGCTTCTAGTTCCTTTTTGTGTTAATAACTTTTAAGGTAAGGTCTAACTTTTTATCAGGCTGTCTTGGGCTCCAGTCTTTCTACTTGTGCTTCCCCATGGGGATGGGGATGACAGGCACTCACCAAGGCACCCAGCAGCCATTGTGCTTCCCCTATAGCTAGAGTAACAAGCATGTATCACCTCACCCAGCCACTTGTTATGATGGAATGATTTAAATTTTTTATCCCCGAGTTTGCCTCAAATTTCAATCCTCCATCTTTGCATCCTAAGTAGCTATAATTAGAGTCTGGAGCTACCCTGTCTAGCTTGGTCTTTCTCTGACCACCCCCCCTCCCCATTTTGGCCAGTGTGCCAGCCCTTGCCCTGTTTTTCTGACACAGAAACTCTTCTTCTAGGAATAATCCTACAGACATGCTTATAACTATATACAAGTATGCCAATTTATGACATTACCTGAAAAAAAAACTTTACAGATATGAACTCTACACCAAACTGTCTAGGTTTAAATCCCAACTTTGATACTAAACAACTATGGTACCTTAGACAAGCATTAGCATACAAATAAACAAAAATATTTACTTCTGAGTCAATTTCTTATCTGTGAAATAAAAATAAATATCCCATAGGGTTATGATAATTGAATGAGCGAGTATATATGAAGTCTGATCTGTATCTAGCAAATAATTATATCACTGTTAGCGATGAACATCATTAATAATCTGAATGTAGCTAGACCATAAGTAACTGATGTCATATCTGAAAATCTTTACATAAAATATGTTCTTTACTTAACTATAATAAAGCCAAGAACTTGTAATTTACAATTATAAAATACTTTATTCTATAATAAATTATATAAATATTTGTGAACTGATCTTTTTCCGTACGGTAGCAATTTGATGAGTAAAATTATTTTATCAGTATGAAAAATTATAAAACTGTAAGCCTATGACGCAGCATTCATATACAAATAAGAACATTAACATTTATTCTTTCCACACTGGAGCACACAAGTCAATTGTCTGCCACCTGCAAAATTACTGTAGGAAGAATCAGAAAATGATGATGTGCTCATCTCAGACTTCCAGTATCCAAACCTTTCTGAAGTAAATTTGTTTATTTCAAAACACATACACCAGGGCTGGGAAGGTGGCTCAGTGGTAGAGTGCTTGCCTTGCATGCATGAGGCCCTGGGTTCGATTCCTTAGGACCACATAAACAGAAAAAGCTGGAAGTGGTGTTGTGGCTCAAGTGGTAGAGCGCTAGCCTTGAGCTCAAGAGCTGAGGGTCAGCACCCAGGCCCAGAGGTCAGGCCCCAGGACCGCCCCCCAATAAAACAAACCACATACACCTAAACACATTTAAGAGTTTACCTTTATCCTTTTCTCACGTTTTATATCTTTAAATCTATCTTCCTAAGAAAAAATAATACAGGTCAACTTTAGAAATTCTCAAGTTAGGATTAGAATACATAATCACTCGAAGAACATCACTGTGTTTAGGAATATTATGCCATACCAACTTACATACACACTTTTCACCAGGAAAATATTAATATTCATTAGTGTTAATAACATTAACATTAAACATTAAAGTTTTTATGTAATCTAAGCTATATTCACTTATTAAAAATGGTTCCTCATATGATTAAGAACCATTAATCACAGCCTAACTAACAATGTGTAGTTGAAAAAGTGTCTGCCCTTGTGAAGCTAAAATTCTTGGGAAGAGACAGAAACTGAACCGTGAAATTATTTCAGCCAGGTAGAGGTGCTTTGTGGTAAGTTATACAACATAGACAAGTATCTTGAGAATTCAGAATAGTAAAGGTTAGAGAAACTTACTTGGAAGAATAAGGCCAGTACGTAATAAAGCTTAGTAAATGTTTATTAGATCCCTACACCACGACCCTTAGCACTGTCTCTTTACTATTACCAGGTTTGTCACAAAGACCAGAAGCTGGAAGTATAAGCTATACTGATGTAGAGATGTTTTCAAGGCATAAAAACAAAAAACAGGATGTAAGAACGGGTAAGGCAAACATGATATACAAGTTATTTGACTAGAGCAGGCAGACAAGACATGAGGACAGGTCAGTAGCTTCTTAAATTAAGAAAATTGACTACCAAAGCCTAAGTAAACAAGACAGTTTTTCCTGGTTTGAAATAGGCAATCACAGGCTCTTGAATACAAAGTTTCAACTGCTTTTTCTCTTTTTCTGAAAGAAAACAAGATGTCAATTTGGGAGAAGCTAGGTTTTGAACTCTACCTCGCAGGCACTAGAGGCACGCACACACCTCCTTCCCGGGGAAGCCCTTACCTGTTTTAGCTATTTTTTCAGATACTATCTGGCCTCGTTTGCCCAGCTAGCCTCAACCCCCATCTTCCTACCTGCACCTCTGGCATAGCAAGAATCACAGCCATAACCACAACCAGTTTGGATAGCTAACTTTGTGCCTGAACTGGCCTCATGGTAGGGCTCGGGATCTGCACCTTCCAAGGAAGGAAGGTCGTTTGGGGCAGATGGCATTCTAGAAGCCCCGGCTCACTCCCCAGCACGAGAAAGAGGGGCGGGCCTCCAGTCCTCCGGCCTGCTGGGGGGGGAAAGGCCGCTGGCTACCACAGCGGGGAACTTGGGGGCGGGGGGGGGGGGGCCGCCTGGCCTCGGGCTCCTGTTGGTTTTCTCTCCCGGAAACCCCTAAGGGGCGTTAATTCGCCTCCTCCCCCGGAGAGAATAAAGGAGCTCGGAAGAGAAGAGTTGCTCAGAGCCCGCAGGGAACCTGCCGGCCACTCGGCTCCCACCAGCCCCGCCCCCTGCATCCTTTTCCGTCCACCCGCGGCGTTCCAGGGCCCAAGAGGCCGTTCGGTATCCCCAGCTAGGGTCCCGCAGCCCCGGCAGAAGCTCCGGACCCTCCAAACTGCCTGCCCCCCGCGGAAAAGCTTCCAACGGTTCCGGCGTTCTCCCCAACACCGTATCTCACCCGCACACCGCCGCGAGCGGAACGTTCTGGGCGACTCGGCCGATGGCGGCTCGGTTTTAACGGTTTTTCGGCTGTGGGTCACGGGACTCCGGCGCGCGCTGTTCGCTGATTGGCTCTTCCCCACGACCAATCCAGAGGCTCACTTCGGAGATGACGCCAAAGGCCTGAGCCGATAATCTGGAACCCGTCGCCCGAACCGTGGGTCGCGCCTTTTCTGACGAGTCAGACATGGCGGCGGAAAGCGGTAGCGATCCCCCAACGAAGCGGAGAAGGCGCCGGGACCCAGAAGATCCAGAAAAATCCGAACCGAGCGAGAGAGAGTTGGCGGTGGTCGTAGCGGGAGCCCGAGAGAATGACGAGGAGAACGAAGAGCGCTGGGTCGGGCCTCTACCTGTGGAGGCCACACTGGCCAAGAAGAGGAAAGGTAGCGCCGACGGACGCGGGGAGCGGCCCGGACGCCGCGCCTGCTGGCGGGAGGGTGGATGTCAAGCCCGCGCGCCACCGGGGCGGGGTCGGGAGGGGGCGGGGGAGGGTGGGAAGGGGTTCCTGTCCTCCGGACAGAAAATCGTCATCTAACTGGCCACTCGATGCTAGACCGTCCTCCCCGGTTGTGGTTTGCGCTTAGTACCCGCTTCCTTTTGAGAGTGTGTGGCACTGTTAACCACTGGGTTACTATAACACGCTAAAACCACCACTTACCCGTACGTAACGTTACGGGGCGCCTCCCTCTCCTCTGGTCCTTGTAGCGGCTGAGATTGAAATTTCTAAGGTAGCAAGTGTCAGAGTAGTACTTTGGTTCTCTTTAAAGGCTTTGAGAACGAGTAGTGTTACTGTTTGGCTCACGGAAGGAAAGCGATGCAAATTTAAAATCAAACAATTAAGAAAGGATTTTAAACTCTTTACTCCATGAGTTTTCAAGATGTTGGGAAAGTGACTTAAGCCTTTTGGGTCACAAATGTTTTCAGCCAAACCTGAGGTCTGTGGTTTCCAGATCAAAATTCCTGAGACATGAGCTGAAGTATTTTGCCACTTAATGTGGAGTAAAATATTTTTAAGGGGGAAAAAAAGGTACGTTTTTTGTTTCTCTTGTTTTTCTGTAAAATGTTCTTTAGTGAAACATTTAAGACCGTTAAAATATGATCTTTCTAAAGCTCAAATATGACCTTATCATCCTTCCCCTAATTAATACTCTTCAGTGATTTTTATTTTCGAAGCAAAGCTCAAACTCCCTAGCTGATGATCTGATGTCTACCTCCCCAGTACATCTCTCATTAGCCTTATCTCCCAATCCTTTGTTTTGTGTTCCAGCCATACTAAACAACTTGAGAATGGACCATGTACTCTTTCTTCTAAAATATTACTTATCTTTACCTAGAATAATTTATTTTTCTACTGGATTGAATTTCACTTAACCCTTAGCCTTTATGTCACCTCATCTGAGAAGCATGTGACTTCCCCAGTCTTGACTGAGTTTCAGAAACACATTTATCCTAACTCTGAGGTAAGGTTTATGACACTGAGTATATGTGAAGACAGATAGCCTTAACATTTTTGTGGATTCAAATTGACAAAGCCGATTTTTTTTTTTTTAGAAATTTCACCCACATATTATCTTTTTTTTTTTTTTTAACTTTCTGATCCTCCTGTTGGATGTTTCCATATCAACCTTTTCCTTTGTGGCACTTGCTACTGTTTATAATTGTATATTCATTGGCTTTCTAATTGAAAGTTTAAAGACTAAACATGTAAGGACAGGAATCATGCCTGTTTTGCTCCAGTGCGTAAATATCTCTCTGAGAACTATAGTGCTTATGCTGTTGCTTAATTATCTTACTGCATTTAAGTATTTTGACATGCATTTTTGTACTAAAAGAAATGAAAATGGGAAAAATCCAAAAATAAATGCTATTAGGAAGTAAGTATAAACAATAGTTTTTTTGGGGGGGGGGTCCGGTCGTGGGGCCTGAACTCTGGGCCTGGGCACTGTCCCTCAGCTCTTCAGCTCAAGGCTAGCACTCTACCACTTGAGCCACAGCGCCACTTCCAGCTTTTTTTGTTTTTGCTTATGTGGTGCTGAGGAATTGAACCCAGGGCCTCATGCATGCAAGGCAAGCGCTCTACCACTGAGCCACCTTCCCAGCCCCTAAACAATATTCTTAATAAGATGCTTTCGGGTTTTTAAGCCAGTCAACAGTATATTCTGCTTGAAGAAGAAAAACTAGAAACAATGTAAGAATTTTTCTTTTTTAGTAGTGGTGATAGTTGTACTAGGATTTGAATTCAGGATCTCAGGCTTGCTAAGTTGGTTCAGTACCACTGAGCCATTCCTCTGGTCCTTTTTCATTGGTTATTTTTAGAATAGGATCTCAACTTTCTGCATGTTCGTATCTGAGCTGTAATCACCTACTTTAGGCTTCTTGCCTTTGCTAGGATCACAATATCCAGCTTCCAACAGTAAGTCTGGAGGACTTTTCTGCCCAACTGGCCTAGAACCCCTATCCTCCAAGCCTCACTGTCACACATCTAGTAATGACAGGCACTAGCCATTGTACCCAGCTATGGTTTGAGAAAGGTTCTTTTATGCCTGGGCTAGTCTCAACTATAATACTCCTGTTTTCACCTAACATAAAATTCATGGAAGAATTCTTTTTAAATAGTGTCAAAATTTGTATCTAGGGCTAGGATTTTGGCTTATTGGTAGAGCACTTGCCTAGCATGGGTAAGGCACTGGGGTCAATCCTAGTACCACAAAAGAAAAGGATAAGGGGAGGGACAAAATTTGGTGTAAAAGAGTAGGTATTTAATAGGCTTTCTAGAAATAGGGCTATTCATTCAAACATGACCTTTGAGTATTAGACTTTTGTATATACACTTTCACAAGACATGATAGGTAAATGTATGACTCTACATCCACAGATAGTCATTGACCTCTTAAATCAGCACTAGTTCCCAGGATCTACATTGTTTAAGAACATGGTCATGCTATTTTCATGAACTTTCTAATGTTTTGAAAACTATATTAAGCCAAAACTACTCAGTTCTTAAATCTTTGAAACAGCTAAGCATGTATATTATAGTACCTAGGGAACCTGTAATAACTGACTGAATATTGATGGTAGTTAGTTTTCTGACAACAGATACTGCATTTAAATGAATAAATCCTTATATATGTATATTGAGAGAAAGTAAAACCTACAGTAAAATGCAAACTAGAATTTAGAATATTCTAAATACAAAATGTACAATTATTTGTTTATTGAAATAAGTGGGTTTTTTTATTCTCCTCAGTTCTTGAGTTTGAAAGAGTCTACCTTGATAATCTCCCCAGTGCATCCATGTATGAGCGCAGTTACATGCATAGAGATGTTATCACCCATGTGGTATGCACCAAGTAAGTGTATGATATTTTTTCTCAGTTTTTTTAGAAAAACTTATGTTCTGTATGTTCTTTCCTATATAATAAATTCTCTAGAAGAAATCCTCTGATGTGTGTACACACGTGTATATATATATGTATATATATACATATATGTGTGTTATGATAAAATACCAAGAGAGAGATGAGGCAGCTCATAACTGAGCTATCCAAAGAAGAGGGACTATTACTTAAGATAGTAAAAGAAGGGGGACTATTACTTAAGATGGTAATAATTGTTGATGTCTTTGGCACCAATAAATAGTGAGAACTAAGACATTTTGGAACTATCCAAGACTTTCAGAATGGCTGTGAAGGTCATTTGGAGAAAGGAAATAATAGCCGTAATACTCGGTGTTTCTTGATCTCAACTATGTGTATAAGTACTGTGCTAAGGTTTTTTTCATAAATTGCTCGATTTCACAAATTTCCAATTTGGAACAATTGTGTTGAACAGTGTATCATCTTCATATTATAGATGATGAAACTGAAGTTTAGGAGAAAATGGTTAAGGGCTAAATCCCAGAGGATTTCTGTTCTTTATATGGATTTTGAACTTGTGAGAAGAGAGTAACTTTTTTTTTAAGGAACACCCTGGCTATGGTGAGATGAATGAACTTAAATGGAGCAAGTATAGGTAGAGAACAGAAATGTGTATGAGATATGGTAGATTAGAGGATGTTGAATATGGAAAGTAGGTGGATTACTATGTTTGGATGGATTACTATGTTTTTCTCTTGAACACAAATTGCATTTCAGATATTAGTGTTTCTCTTTTCATATTTTATATATAAGATGCTTATCAAATAAGAGCATCTTGGCCTAATCCAAACTTGCCAATGTAGAAAGCAGCTTATAGATGCTAGCATTGATAGTACTCTCATAAATTTTATTCTTTTTTAAAACTAGAGATGTGGAGTTATATGTTTTGTAGTTATGTAATCTGAAAGCCACTCACTATCTTTGGACCTGGGGCGTTTTAAAACTATTTTCTGATTTATAAAACAGTGATTAAAAAAAAAAATACCCATGTAATAGTTGTTGTAAAGGTCAATTAAGTTAATGTGTGTATTTTACATAAACTAAATTTCAATAAATGGTTTCTATTTTTATATACCTTATAGAAGAAACTGTTCTACCCAAAATCTTTTTGGCCCTTAAATAACCAAAATACTTTGGCTAAGGTACAAATGTTTTTTTTTAATATGAGCATTCTGTATCAACTTCTGAAGAGTAGTAGACCTTTCCGTAAAAGACTTCATGTAGAAAATATTTAGCCGTAAAAATGTTGCAGCCTTGCAGGTCCTTGTAGCCCTTGCTTGTAATCCCAACTACAAAGGCAGCAAAGATGAGTTGATGGTGGTTCCAGGTAAGCCCAGACAAAAATAGTTAACCAGATCTCTATCTCAAAAAACCTGACTGGCCAAATATGCTTATAATCTCAGCTATGCAGGAAGCAGAGGTAGGAAGATAGAGGTCCAAGAACAGCCTGACAGAACAAGACCCTATCTGAGAAACAACTAAAGCAAAAAGGACTGGAGGTATGACTCAACTGGTAGAGTGCTTGTCCCAAGGCCTAAGTACAAACCCTAGTACTACCAAAAAAGGGAAAAAGAAACCCTAAAGTCTTGGTCTTACCTGCTCAGGAGAGCAGAAATAAGAGACTAGAAGTTTGAAGCTAGTCTGGTAAAAATTAGTAAAATCATATTCCCTGCCCCCTGCAAAAAAAAAAAAAAATGTGTGTGTGGAACACAACCATAATTCCCAGCTAGCCAGGAAACAGGGCTGAGAGTGTGACTTATGGTAGAGTATTTGAAAGCTTGATGTCCTGAGTTCACATCTCAGCACTGCCTTAAGAAAGTTACACTTATTTCAGTGTTGAATTCTGAGCCAAATCCAGGATTAAAGTAGATTGCAGTGTTTTATATGTATTCCAACAAGGGTCTGCACAAGGGAATATTTTTTAAAAAGCCAACAACCAAAAAAGAAAACCAGGTGTAGTTGCACTAGCCTGTAGTCATATCATTAGAGGGTCTGACAATGGAGGATTTTGAATTTGAGGCCAGAATTAGCTATATAGAGAGGCCCTAGCTCAAAAAACAAAAGGAGAAAAGGGAATAATAACAACAAAAATAAGGCTGTTTTTAAGTCAGGATTGTTAGTGGACATTTGCTTTTGAATGTACAGAGTGATTCAAGCATCTATCATAGAAATTAACTTCAATTTTTTTCATCTGTGCAGGACAGATTTTATTATTACTGCCAGTCATGATGGCCATGTGAAGTTCTGGAAAAAAATAGAAGAGGGAATCGAATTTGTTAAGCATTTTCGTAGCCACCTTGGTAAGAATATTACATTTTCTCCCCTTTGGTATCTCTCTTTGAAATACTGCTGATTAAAGTTTCCTTCAAAATTATACTTTATGGGGCTGGGAGGGTGGCTCAGTGGTAGAATGCTTGCCTTGCTTGTATGAGGCCCTGGGTTCAATTCCTCAGCACCACATAAGCAGAAAAAGTAGAAGTGGCACTGTGGCTCAAGTGGTATAGCGCTAGCCTTGAGCTGAAGAGCTGAGGGACAGCACCCAGGCCCAGAGTTCAGGCCCAGGCCCCATGACAGACCGAAAAAAAAATCATTTTGTTTTGTATTCTTTGAATCATGCATGGTTATTTAATTGGTATTTACTAGAGTATTTTATTTAAATAGGAGTTATTGAGAGTATTGCAGTTAGCTCTGAGGGAGCATTGTTCTGTTCTGTGGGTGACGATAAAGCAATGAAGGTCTTTGATGTAGTGAACTTTGACATGATCAACATGCTGAAGCTTGGGTGAGTCTTTTTAAAGTATTCTTTTAACCTAAATAAATAATTTTTTAAGTTAAATTTCACCATTTTGCAATATATTAACACTCTGTTAAAAAAATGGGCTTTGGGGTTCTGCTTAGGAAAATTAAGTTAATCCTTGTGATGTTGTTTGGAGGCTGATACTCAGGTTTTTAATCATTAATCACAGAAATTTCTAAGCAGCATCATAACAGATTGTATTCAACTAATACCTCATAGTACATTATTGAAGATCCATTGTCTTAAGTAGTGCTAATTCGGAACTAACTTCGTTGCTATACTGTACTTGACAATGCAGAATTGTATTCTTATAAGGGTTTCAGAATTTGTTGATTTTTAAGCTTTTAGGATATACTCAGTATGTGGTTAGACATTACAGTAGTAAAAGTGATATATTCATATATATTTCAGTGAATGTCATCCTGAGAATCATAACATTGTCAGAAAGCTTTGGAACTTGGCTTACTCTGCTTCTGAATGGGGTTGGAGGTGTGACTCGGTTGATAGAGCACTAACCAGTGAGTGAAAGCCTCAGGTACCAAGTTTGAGTCCTGCTCTGAGTTCAGTCCTTAAACTGAACATTGTCTTAAACAGAAATTTTTTCAGTATTCTGGAGGCTAGGAAAGTCTAAGGTCCAGGTTCCTGAAAAAAAATCCTGCCAGCCTTTTCATTGTATCTTCTTGACTTAGTTTGAATAAACAGGAAAGCTCCCTCTCTTTTTAATAAGGTCATAGGCTTTTTAGATTAAAGATTTACCCTTATGACATCATTTTAACCTAATTACCTATGAAAGAGTACTATATCCAAGAAACCTATTATATTGTGGACTGCATTGAATACATATTTCAAGTCTAACTTTGAATCAGATTTTATGAACCACTAAAACCAACAAAGTCTCTCATTTACGATTTCTTTTTTTAATCACAGAGTTGATTAACTTGATATCCTGTGTTTTTACAAGATTGTTTCCTCTATACATTTGCTATTGTGAAAAAGCCAGGAATGTAGCTTAGTGGTAGAGTGCTTGTTTTGTTTTTTTTTTTGTTTTTTTTTTTGGTCCGGTCGTGGGGCCTGAACTCTGGGCCTGGGCACTATCCCTCAGCTCTTCAGCTCAAGGCTAGCGCTCTACCACTTGAGCCACAGCGCCACTTCCGGCTTTTTTCTTTTTGCTTATGTGGTGCTGAGGAATCGAACCCAGGGCCTCATGCATGCAAGGCAAGCACGCTACCACTGAGCCACCTTCCCAGCCCCGGTAGAGTGCTTGTTTAGCATGCATGAAGCCCTGGGTTCGCATCCACATACAGAGAAAAAGCCAGAAGTGGTGCTGTGGCTTAAGTGGTAGAGTGCTAGCTTTGAACAAAAGCAGCTCAGGAACAGTACCTAAGCCCTGAGTTCAAGCCCATGACTGACAAAAAATAAAGCAAATTCAAGCAAGACACCAGTGGCTCACTTTTGTAATCCTAGCTACTCAGGAGGCCAATATCTGAGGATCATGGTTCAAAGTCAGCCCAGGCAGGAAAGTCCATGAGACGCTTATCTCCAATAAACCATCAGAAAACCGGAAGTGGCACTGTGGCTCAAGTGGTAGAGTGCTAGCCTTGAGCTGAAGAGCTGAGGGATAGCGCCCAGGCCCAGAGTTCAAGCCCCATGACCAACAACAACAAAAATAGCCAATCAGTCATCAGTATTAGACATTAGACCTTTGAGTATATTAAAAGGAAGTATATGTTTCAGGAATTGACAGAAATTCAAAAGGTTGGGGCTCAGTGATAGAGTGCTTGCCTTGCTTGCATTATGCCCTGGGTTCTATTCCTCTGTACCACATAAACAGAGAAAGGTAGAAGTGGCGCTGTGGCTCAAGTGGTCGAGTGCTAGCCATGAGCTGAAGAGTTGAGGGACAGCACACAGGCGGAGTTCAAGTTCAATGACCAACAACAACAAAAAAATAATTCAAAAAAGCTCCAAAAAAGTTGTGAGCACCAGCACCATTTTTGTATAATAGTGTCATTTCTCCAAGTGATTCCTTTGCAGAGGACAGCACATTTGAATATGCTTGGTATATGGATTAAATCTGTCCACGTTCTTCTATACTTTTCTTCATTGGACAGCATGCCCAAAGCTTACACTTTTTTTGTTACTGAGTTTTTGTGTTTTTGTTTTATGCCTGTCTTGAGGCTTGAACTAAGAGCCTGGGTTCTGTCCCTGATCTCTTTTGCTCTAGTGCTCTACAACTTGAGCCACATCTCTATTTTTGGTTCTTTGGTAGTTAATTAGAAATAAGAGTGTGCCTAGGCTTGCTTTGCACCTTGATCCTCAGATCTCAGCCTACTGAGTAGCTAGAATTAGAGGCATGTGAGCCACTGGCACCCAGCTTCCAATGCTTATGTATAGTTTTAATACTAATATTGATTAGGACAATGTTTTTCTTGAATACTATCATAATTTAAGTATTTTTATTAGTCTTAAATAATAGTTACTAATCTATTTGAAAGTAGGTTATAATGTACATCCAAAAGACAATGGCCTAAAATACCTTGAAGCCCAGGTCTGTTTAGATTTTTTCCTTGTGTACCAAAGAGAAATAAATATAGGGTGTTTTATGCATATCTCTTCTTATGGTATGGTAGATCCTTAGCGTTACCATTACAATGATGATATCAGAGAAAATTTAGTAACTATTCTTAGTGGTTCCTCTTCATTCTTTGTCTCTTAATTTTCAGTAAAACATCCAAAATTGTGTAAACCATTGGCTAGGACTTTTCTTGTATTATTGTCATTTTATGTTTTGTTAATATGCTAGGGAGGAGTACTTGTATTAACACTTTCCCCTAATTGTTTACTGCTTTAGTTATTTTCCAGGACAATGTGAATGGATCTATTGCCCAGGAGATGCAATATCTTCAGTTGCTGCTTCTGAGAAGAGTACAGGAAAAATTTTCATTTATGATGGTCGTGGAGATAACCAGCCACTTCATATATTTGACAAACTCCATACATCTCCTCTTACTCAAATAAGGCTAAACCCAGTTTACAAAGCAGTGGTGTCTTCTGACAAATCTGGAATGATTGAGTACTGGACTGGGCCTCCTCATGAATATAAATTCCCAAAAAATGTGAACTGGGAATATAAAACTGACACAGATTTATATGAATTTGCCAAATGTAAGGCTTTTCCAACCAGCATATGTTTTTCACCTGATGGGAAGAAAATAGCTACCATTGGATCTGATAGAAAAGTTAGAATTTTCAGGTTTTTAACTGGAAAACTTATGAGAGTCTTTGATGAATCATTAAGTGTAAGTATAATTGGGATTTAATCATTTTGTCTAAAAATGTTTTTATTTGTGCTGTTCCTCAAAGTTCTTTTTTTCTTCCTTTTTTTTTTTTTTTTTTTGCTGGGGGTGGGCAGTGGGTAAATCAATACCAGAGCTTGAATTTAGGGCCTTGCAATGCTGTACCACTTGAGCCATACCTCCAGTCTAGCATTATGCTGATTAATTGTAGAGAGAGTCAAGCCCTGGCTTTCATGGGATCCTCCAGGTCTTAGCCCCCTAAGTAGCTAGGATTATAGGCATAAATCACTAACACTGGGCTTTTTTCCCCCTCGTCTAGACTTCTAGCTTAATGATTATTTTCTCTTAGTACATTAAAGTTTTTACTCAGTTTTTTTTTTTTTTATCTTGAGTTGATGCTCTTTGCAGCAGTTAGATTTATTATGTGATATTTAACGTATTCATGTAGCTGAATGTTCGTTTTCAGTTTATAGTTTTCTTAAGATCCTCAACCCTTATTGTATGTCCTCATTCCTTCTTAAACTATTCATTCTGTACACATGACCACAGTGCAGCTTTTTGAAGCTCTTCCAGGAAGGAAATATACAGAAAAAAGCTTTTAGAACCCTATTGTTGTTTTCAACATTTGTTGAAATGATAGAACTGAGTTGAGGAAATCAGGAATAAAGCTATGAGATTCTGAATGAGACTGTTTTCATTTATATTAATAGGAATATAGCATTCATTAATTACATTAATTGTACTACAAATAAAAAATAATGACTAGTAAGTGGAATCTCTTCTTTGATGAGGTGGAAATACTTTTTAACAGTTTAACAAATTGGTGTGAAGTTTTACTTTCTAGTATTTATTAAGTAGGTGAAATATGCACGGTCAGTGCATATAACTATGAAGTTGTATATTACACAGGCCTTGCTATGAAGACTAGAATAGGATACTGTTGGTAAAAACACATGGTCAAATGCTTATTAGATTGAATAAACATACACAAAATAATATTGCTGATGGCTGCCTAAAGACTTACGTCCTGAAAACTGAGTTTTCTAACAGAACCATCATGGGTCCCTAACTATCAAAATGTACTTAAATTCCTAGCATACCAATAATTGAATGTATGTCAGCTTGTCTGTGTTAGACACTACAGACAAGAAAGCCTAACCAGGTCTGTAAGCTGTTAGATGTTGAACTCCTACCTGAATCCTGACATACATACTCCCTTTATTTTTTTTTTAATTTTTTGTGCTTCACATATCCAGAAAAACTGTGGAAGCCTTTCAGTTAAGATAAGCATGAAGTCAGGCACTGGTGTCTCACATCTGTAATTCTAGCTGAAATAAGAATTTGTTATAAATTAGTGAGATAATAGTTCATTCAACAAAAATCTGAGTATTTGTTACATCAAACACATAATCCTTGAACAAGGATTTCAAAGTCTATAGCTCTATTGTTCATTAGTGACAGGTGACTACTGAGTGCCAGATGCATCTAGACCCAAAGAGAGAGTTACTCAAATAAAATAAATGCAAAATTTCAAAAACAAGTTTCAATTGTTAAAATTGTTACTTTAGAAATTGTGATATTGGGCTGAGAAGATGGCTCAGTGGTGGAGTGCTTGCCTTGCATGCATGAGGCCCTGGGTTCGATTCCTCAGCACCATATAAGAAGAAAAAGCTGGAAGTGGTGCTGTAGCTCAAGTGGTAGAGTGCTAGCCTTGAGCTGAAGAGCTCAGGGACAGCGCCCAGGCCCAGAGTTCAGGCTCCACGACCGACCAAAAAAAAAAAAAAAAGAAATTGTGATATTTTGGATGCATTAAGTTGAATAAAAATTCAGACAAATTTTGTTTTTATTGTGCTTAACTTAGTCACTGTAAAATGTGCCGTTTATGTCATTGTAAACTGCCAGTCTGAGGCTTTTTAAAAGGCAAGTACACCAAGAAAATAATAATAAAAGCAGTACAACAGCCTGGGCTCTTGTGGCTCACACCCATATTCCTAGCTACTCTGGTGATAGAGATTAGGAAGATTATAGTTTGAGACCAATCCAAGCAAAAGCATTCACAAGACCCATTCACAGAAAAAGTTAGGTGTGGTAACATGATTCAAGCTGGCTCAGGGAAGAGGTAAAATACTGTCAAATAAGATCCTCAAAAATAACTACAGCCAAAAATAAAATCCTCAAAAACAACTAGACCCCAAAAAAGCAGAGGGCGTGGCTCAACAGTAGAGCCTCTACCTAAGCAAGCACCAGATCCTGAGTCCAATTTCTAGTACTGCAAAAATAAAAGGGAAGAAGCAGCCAATTTATCATTTCTGTACAGAAAATATTTAATTAGAAAAATCACTTATCCTTAATGCAAAATACTTTGATTTTATAAGTGGTTACACTGAGGATTAAACATAGGGTTTCATGCAGGCTAAGAACACATTCCAGATCTGCCACTGAGCATACTTGAAGACCTGAAGTATCTTTTCTGTCCTGCTTTTAGGGCTTAAGTTTCTGAAGATATAGAAGTTTAAACTCTTAAGGGCACTTATTGTGTACAGTGCTTCTATTCTCCTTCGTTTTGTTTGGGTGGTGGTGGGGTAGAAGGAATAGCATTTTTCACATTATTTCCTAGATGTTTACTGAACTACAACAAATGAGGCAACAGCTACCAGACATGGAATTTGGTCGACGAATGGCAGTAGAGCGTGAGTTGGAGAAAGTGGATGCTGTAAGATTAATTAATATAGTTTTTGATGAAACTGGACACTTCGTGCTATATGGAACAATGCTCGGCATTAAAGTTATAAATGTAGAAACAAACCGGTAAGCTTCAATATGAGTATGGTTTTTAAAAATACATTTATGCAGGACCATTTTCTCCACTAGGAGAACAATGAGAGTTCTGTTTGTTACAAGAAAAGTGGAATGGTCCCAAATGTCTAAACTTAACCAAATATTTTGACTGGATTTTTCTGTGGTCTCTCAGTTGTTTATAATCTTATGTAAAAAGTTGCTACTCAATGTTTGTAAAAGAAATGGAAGAAGATATGAATAGTTTTCAAGGGTTTTTTTTAAACACGTTTCAGTCTGTTTTATTTATTGATTTAAATTAGTGTCATTCATGTTAATCATGCCAAATATTTTAGCCACAGAATTCAGCATTACATCCTGCTTAAACATAAAATCAGAAGTTAAAATGCATGAAACCACAATAAGTCTTTTGTGCAAAAACTCCATTTGTCTTAGTACAAATATCTATGCTCATATCCTGAATGTAAATGAAAAGAACTTAAATGATATTTTAAGAAACCCTATGCTATGCATTCCCACATATAAACATTGATATTATCGTTCTTGGCAATATAAAATCTTGGAATGTTGGTAAAAAGATTAAAATAATAGGAATGGGTTAAAATGGTACATGTATCCCTCGGTGCTATGGGAAATTGGTTTAAAGACACATCAGAGAAATCAGCTATGATGCTCAAGTTAAATCATATAAGATGGCTTATTTGCATATAATCTATTCCTATCCTCCTTTATACTTTTAAGTCATTTCTCACTTATAATACCTGATATAATGTAAATATTATGTAAACAGTTACAATATATTGTTTAGGGACCAGTAATAATGGGGGAAAAGTGTATATTCAGCACAAACCTTTGGTATTGGCATGTACTAAAGTTTGAACTCGGGGCCTCACTCCTCTTAAGCATAACAGTTCTCTAGAAACTCCTCTTCCAAGTGTTTTCTCTTAGTCAGTAGGTTTGTATTTTCTTCACGATTTTGTGATTTGAAAATTATACTTGTCTACCAACTAAAAAGTATACTCATTTGGGGATGGTGAAACACTATAGGATATCTTCTGCTATTTTATATAAATCAGTGGTTGACCTTGTCTATTATCTGTAAAGTTGTCATGATTGGAATTAATTCTGGTAATTAATTGTTAAAAAAAAAAAAGACAAAAAACATAGCTAGCCAGGTGCTGGTGGCTCACACCTGTAATCCTAGCTATTCAGGAGGCTGAGATCTGAGAATCACGCTCCAAAGTCAGCCTAGGCAGGAAATCTGTGAGACTCTTATCTCCAATTAATGACCAGAAAATCAGAAATGGCACTGTGGCTCAACTGGTAGAGCACTTGCCTTGAGCTGAAGAACTGAGGGACAGCACCCAGGCCTAAAGTTCAAGCCCCATGACCAACCAAAAAAAAATTGCTGTATTTTCCAGGTGTGTGCGGATCTTAGGCAAACAAGAAAATATTAGAGTGATGCAACTGGCTTTGTTTCAAGGAATAGCCAAAAAGCATCGTGCTGCAACTACTATAGAGATGAAAGCTTCTGAAAACCCTGTTCTTCAGAATATTCAAGCTGACCCTACAATAGTCTGTACGTCTTTCAAAAAGAATAGATTTTATATGGTATGTGTGGCATATTGGGAATTACATTTGTACCTTTAATGTAAGAGAATGTTGGACATGTTAGTAGGCTGTCTAAACAACTGAAATACTTCCATTTCAAATATTACTATTATTTAATTCAACCTGGCTTCTATAACTATTTGTGCTAAGATGATAGGAAATTAGTAGATACGATCATGATAGTATCCATAAGTTTTAATTTTTTAATGTTTTGCCAAGCACTGGTGGCTCATGCCTATAATCCTAGCCCCACAACAGATGAAAAAGTTTTTTTTACTATTTTTCAGCTTTTTTTCTTTCTTTCCTCAAGACATTATTGGGAAGTGATCTCAGTGCGTCCATTCTACCACTTGAGCCATATGTGTCTGCATCTTTTTATCTTTTTTTTTCCCCCAGTCATGGGACTTGAACTCGGGGCCTGGGTGCTGTCCCTGAGCTTTTGTGCTCGAGGCTAGTGCCCTACCATTTGAGCAATAGCTTCACTTCTAGTTTTTTTTGGTGGTTAATTAGAGATAAGAATCTCACAGACTTTTCTGCCCAGGCTGGCTTCAAACCACAATCCTCAGATCTCAGCTCCTAAGTAGCTAGGATTACAGGCATTGAGCCACCCACCACCTGGTTTAATTCTTGGTATATTCTAAAAATACAAACCTTAATTTCCAACCAGTCTATTAAAACACTTTGTTAACACTATTAATAAACTCCCCAGAGTTTACATATAAATGGTTAAAGTACACATACTCATTTTAAGGTTTAAGCAAATAGAAATTTTTTTAAAAAATCATTGTTTCTTTGTCCAGCTAACATTAAGAATTTTCTTTGTTTTAGTAGATGTACATAGCCGTAAGCTAAACTTAAGATACATTACACATATATGGCTCTTCTTTTAGTCCCTGTTTAAATCCATCATATGAGATAAATAGTACTATTTTAAGCAAGATGTAGAGCTATGGCTCAAATGGTATAGTGCTATCCTTGAGCAAAAGAAGCTCAAGGTCAGTACTCTGGCCCTGAGTTCAAGCCCCAGAACCAACAATAAAACTATGATTTTAAAAATCCATACACAAACTAATTCAAGATAACTTTTTAAAAATTATCATACAATAGATAATTTGTTCCATTGAAGAATACATTGTAAAATGTTAAGATGAAAACATTCTAGGTTGGTTTTTTTATTGGGAATCCTACTTGAGTGGATCAAGGAATGATGTTAGGGAAGATGGGAAGTCATACATTACCTTTTTGACTTCTTAGAGCTCAGCATCAGGTAGACCTCGCCTGGGAGAGAATTTCTACTTACTGAGTTAAGTAAAAGAAATGGCCTTGAGAAGTTCAGACTTTTTATATCCCAAAGATTTTTCTCTCTTTTCCTTGTCCCCTGAAGATCGTAAGATTTCTATACCTTTACTCAAAGTCTGCTTTTTCCCTCCTAAGCTTCAGAGTTCAAATAGATCAAGTAAGACTGGGGGAAAGAGAAAAAAACTCAAGATATATTACTTGTCCTCTTTGTGAATCCTCATCTTAACACTATGTTCTGTTCATAGTAGTAAGATGTTCATGTAGTGCCCTGTGTTAGGCAATGATTTGTCAGTATTTTATATCCATTCCTATGGGTTTCATAACTTCCTTTTTTAGGAAATAGGCACTGTTATCCCACTTATGTATGAGAAATGGAAAAAATCAATTCACTTCCCCCATGTCACTTAATTAGTAAATGGAAGAGACAGACTTCATACATAGGCAACCTAATAGTGAAAAGTAAGCAACAAGTGGCAGTAAAACATAGAAGAGTTGCTACTAATAAAGGTTATATTTTTAACTACATACCAAGAAAATTTCTACCAAAAGAAGTTAAATCTTGGGGCTGGGAAGGTGGCTCAGTGGTAGAGCGCTTGCCTTGCATGCCTGAGGCCCTGGGTTCGATTCCTCAGCACCACATAAGCAAAAAGAAAAAAGCTGGAAGTGGCGCTGTGGCTCAAGTGGTAGAGCTCTAGCCCTGAGCCGAAGAGCTGAGGGACAGCGCTAAGGCCCAGAGTTCAGGCCCCACGACCGGACCCAAAAAAAAAAAAGTTAAATATCATTCGGAATCACGAATGTGCATTATATTACATGGATTATTTAAACATTAAAATAATACAAGTCATTTAATTGCTTTACAGGTCTTAAAGGACATGTTAGTGAGATAAAAATTAAATCTGATAAGAGTATTTTCCTCAAGTACTTCATTTGAAATGAAATTTACTGTCTGGTGAAAAGTTTAATTCATTTTTTCATTTTTCCCTCCCCCACTTTCTTAATATTCTTAAGTTTACCAAACGAGAACCAGAAGATACAAAAAGTGCAGACTCTGACCGAGATGTTTTTAATGAGAAACCTTCTAAAGAAGAAGTCATGGCAGCTACTCAAGCTGAAGGACCAAAACGAGTTTCAGATAGTGCCATTATCCATACAAGCATGGGAGACATTCACATCAAACTTTTCCCTGTTGAGTAAGTATTATCTTTGTTATCTTAATAATATAAGTATCAGTGACAATGTGTATTTGAAACTATAACTTAAAATTATTTTTTAGGAACTTTGAAGTATGTAAGTTCTGTTTTGAGGGTGTTTGTTGTTGTGAGGCAGGGGTTGGTGTTGGGTTTTTTTGTTTTGTTTTGGTCAATCATGGAGCTTAAATTCAGGTCCTGGACACTGTTTTGCTCAAGGCTATTGCTCCATCACTTTGAGGCACAGCTTCACTTCCAGTTTGAGGGTGGTTAATTGGAAATAAGAGTCTCACGGACTTTTTTTTCCAGGCTGGCATGGGACCTCAATCCTCAGATCTCAGCCTCCTGAGAGTAGCTAGGATTGTAGGCATGAGCCACCAGCATAATGTTGTTGTTATAAGAAAATTAACCTTTCCCAGTAACTTAATCTACTATAAATAGTGAAGTAACTTAAGATATGAATATATATGTATATATCTTAAGGTGCTACATTTTACTTTTAACTATATACTGACCTTGAAATACTGTCAAGCTCAAATATTAATCAGTCATAATATAAAGATACTCTGTTACAGTGAAAATATATACCACTACTGATATGACCTTTGAACTCTTGTTTGTCCTGAGATTAAAGGTTTTGAAAAAGTACTCCCGAATTGTTCAGACATTCAAAACATCATTAGGAAATATAGTTGCTTCCAAAGAAAATCATCTTAAGATGCTTTGATTGGTTTGTATCTTACCAGGTGCCCTAAGACCGTGGAAAACTTCTGTGTTCACAGCCGAAATGGTTATTATAATGGACACACATTTCACCGTATAATTAAAGTAAGTTCTGCAAATTTTGTATGACTTAACAAAGGGTATGTTATTGTGCAGTAAGAGATTGAAGCCTAAAGAATCCTTTCACACTCATCAGAATATTTGAAAGGAACAGGAAGTGGACTAGAAACTAATCAAGGAAAAAATATAGCATGACCATGACCACCTTTTAACCAACACTGGTACAGCCAGGTATAGTGGCTCAGCCTGTAGTCCTTGTTACTCAGGAGACTCAGAGTTGAAGATTGAGATTTGAAGCCAGCAGAGGCAGAAAAATTAACCGAAAAATGTCCATAGTACAAGTGTGGCTCAAGTAGTAGAGTGCCACCCAGGAGCAGAAAGGAAAATCAAAAGCTCTAGGCCTTGAGTTCCAGTCCTACTACTAGCACACACAGGAAAACACTGGGCCAATGTTTGTCAACAAATAAAAGGGTAAGCTAATGAGGAAAGGGTCATGAATAAATAAAATTAATAACCATAGTCAGCTGCTGGTGGCTTATTCCTATACTCTGAACTATGTGGACTCTGAGGCTCAAAATTCAAAAAAATTTGGACTGAGCAGACAAATTTTTGAGACTCTTAATTGCCAAATTAGCAAAAAGCCAGAAGTGGAAGCATGAAGTATGAATCTAGCTGAGCTAGATGCCCTGAGTTCAAGCCCCAATAGCAACATACAAACACATAAAAAACAGAGACACACACACACAGGTGACACACACACACACAGAGGTTACTATCCAATAGCTTGATAAACCAATAAGATAAGATTGCAGACCACAGAAGGGCCACAGGGTATCTGACTTGTGACAATCACTGCTATTATACCTGAGGAGCAGAGTGAGCTTGGTCCCAGAATTTTGAGCAGCATGCTGTAGAGTGGATGGGATAGTGATGCAATCATAGGTGACTGGCAGATACTTGAGTCTTGAGAAATGGCAGGAAGAAAAGTCAGACGTCACGTTTCTAAAGGAATTACTAGTGAAATGACTCTCCAAGAAATCCAGGGCATTTGATGAAGTGGGGAGATGGTAAGGACAATTGTATAAGACACGAGACACTATATAGATCCTAAACTTAAAAATAGTATTAGCTGGTTTTTCTGTATTAGGAAAGATAGTGCATGCTTATAACTTTGTATTTTTGTTTCAGTCATTGAATATAAGGTAGTAATTGAGCAATGGAAATATATTATCCAAATTTAAAGATACCTATAGGTTTAACTATATTTCAAGGAAGCTGGAAGTTGTAATGTGATATGGATGGACAGTGTTAATGTGTTTTTGTGTGTTTTCTGTAAGGGCTTCATGATTCAGACAGGAGATCCAACAGGTACTGGTATGGGAGGAGAAAGCATATGGGGAGGAGAGTTTGAAGATGAATTTCATTCAACATTACGACATGACAGACCATACACTCTGAGCATGGCAAATGCTGGATCGAATACTAATGGATCCCAGTTTTTCATAACAGTCGTACCAACAGTGAGTATATCATTGTCTATAAAATATGTAATATATATAATATAGATTCATGGGTTATTCATGGGCAGTATTTATATCTGCCAAAATTTTAAAGTGAACACTTTTTCTTTTCTTTTTTTTTTCCCCCCTAGCTGAGTTAGAACTTGGGGCCTTGCACTTGCCAGGCAAGTGTTCTTCCACTGAGCTAAATTCCCAACTCCAAAAGTGAACTTTTTTTTTTTATTATGAAAATACCGTACAGAGGAGTTATAATTACATGGGCAAGATAATGAGTACATTTCTTATCAAGCATTGTTGCCTCCTCCTTTGTTTCCCCTTCCTATCTCTTCCCCTCTCCCCCCCCATCCCCCAAAAGTGAACACTTTTAAGAGAAGAAATTTTAAGTATAACATTTGTTAGTAAAACAGAACAATGAACTGCTTTCTAGATATTTGAGTCTCAAGTCTCAACTCAGCCACTACTAATTTTGTAGCCTAAAACAAATTATGTCACCTCTCTGGACCTGTTTCCTCATCTCTTAAATATAGGAATTCAGATATGAGTTTCCAGATACGAATTTTCAGACAAATTTTCCACAGTAGTATATGTGATATAATTTATTAATGGCATTTAAGATTTGATAAAATGTAATATGAAGCCATAAGGCTATTGCTGTGAAATTTTACAAAATTACAAAAAGTATACACTTTTTTAAATAAGCATCAAACAATGAAAGAAAAATATTTGTAACTATTATCTGCCAGGCACATAGTCCCATGGTACTATTCACAATACTTAGAGTGCTGATCCTCAGTTTTCAGTAATAGGTGAGGAAACAAATGGTTACACATAATTAACTTGACCAAGATCAAATAGGTAACAGAGCCACCTCCTGAACTCTCAGTATATGCTAGTAAACTATTCTAAACTGCCTCTTAATTGTGCATGCAAAATTCCTACAGAGAATTTCTGTGGCCTTAGTTATAATTTTCATCCAAGCAAAGTAACTTTTCTTTAGCAAACTCTTCCAGCTCCCTTTGGTCTAAATGGTTTAAATAGTCTATTATCTGTGGGTTCTTCAGCTGGCCATTTGATCAATCACAGATTCAAAAGATTTGGAAAGTAAATCTGGGTATACTTTTTTTTTTCTTATATTTGTTTTCTTGTTAAAGCATAGCCCCAATATAGCATTACATTGTAGTAGATATTATAGTAGATATTAAAGTATACAGGATGATAGGCACATAGCTAGCATGTGTGTACTTGATATGGTGGGGGGCCAGTCCCCCACATAACCTTAAATTCTTCTCACTTTGTTCACCCAGAATATGTGATTTAAGAAATTGCTGTTTGCCAATGTTTTCCATTTGTTCTCCAATACAGCCTTGGCTTGATAATAAACACACAGTATTTGGACGAGTAACTAAAGGAATGGAAGTTGTACAGAGGATCTCCAACGTCAAAGTCAATCCAAAAACAGATAAGCCTTATGAGGATGTCAGCATCATAAATATCACTGTCAAATAAAATTTGTTTTTGAAAACTAATATGTATATTAAATATAAGGCTATTTCACATTAGGAAGTTTGAAACTTGCTGAATATACAAACCATATTTGAAAAGATACAAAACTTTTTATATTTCTAATTAAAAGTTTTTAAAAACAAAAGAGCTGCCTTTGATTTTTCTTTCAGTATTTCTAATCCTGAGGTGATAAATTAAATGGACTAAAGTCATAAAAATAGCACTTTCTATGGGTCGTCAAATAATGAGTTGTTAAATGAGAGCTATATGTTTTCTTAACTTTTGAAGCCATGTCTCTTTATTTTGGGGGGGGGGGGGGCGGGGGTCCAGACGTGGGGCCTGAACTCTAGGCCTGGGCGCTGCCCCTCAGCTCTTCAGCTCAAGGCTAGTGCTCTACCACTTGAGCCACAGTGCCACTTCTGGCTTTTTTTTCTTTTTGCTTATGTGGTGCTGAGGAATCAAACCCAGGGCCTCATGCGTGCAAGGCAAGCGCTCTACCACTGAGCCACCTTCCCAGCCCCCCTCCCCCCCCCCATGTCTATTTTTATGTGTAGGTGCACAGCTGTTCTAGGGCTTGAATGCAGGGCCTTGCACACTTGCTTGGCTTTTTCACTCAAAGCTGGCACATACCACTTGAGCCCAGATATTTTTGTTTTTATACTGGTTAATTGGAGATAAGAGTCTCTTGAACTTTTTTGCCCCTGCTGGATTCAAACCTCAATCCTCAGATCTCAGCACATGAATGGCTAGGTTTCAGGCCTGAGCCAACAGTGCTGGACTAGATCCTTTATTTTTATTTTTATTTATTTATTTTTTTTTGGGTCCGGTCGTGGGGCCTGAACTCTGGGCTTGGGCATTGTCCCTCAGCTCTTCAGCTCAAGGCTAGCGCTCTACCACTTGAGCCACAGCGCCACTTCCGGCTTTTTCTTTTTGCTTATGTGGTGCTGAGGAATCGAACCCAGGGCCTCAGGCATGCAAGGCAAGCGCTCTACCACTGAGCCAACTTCCCAGCCCCAATATATTTCTTTTTTTTTTTCTTTTTTTCTTTTTGGTCAGTCATGGGGCTTGAACTCAAGGCTTGAGCGCTGTCCCTGCACTCTTCAGCTTGTCAAGGCATGTGCTCTACCGCTTGAGCCACAGCACCACTTGATCCTTTATTTTTAAAGAGGCATGCCGAGAGCAGGGAACATGTCTGGGGTAAGAAATTACAATTCTGGGCTGGGAAGGTAAAATTGATTACCGTGATTAGAAAGAACATTTATGTTCTTAAGAAATAAAGCAGCAGTGGTGCTAGACACTGTTAAAAATGAATTATAACTTATGAGGGGAAGGGAAGGCACAACGGAGAATGCAAGTGAAGGGGTGAAATTGTCAAAAGAGAATCGTACTCTTATGTAATTGTTACCCTCTGTACATCACCTTTGTAATAATTTAATAAAAATAAGATAGACGAGTATTTTGAAGCAGAGAGCCAAATGGATCAGAAAAGAAATAGTATTGGGAATAGCCTGTAATCCCAGTGAGGGAGTGGCAGTGGAAAACAGTATGAAGTGAGACCTGGGAAAGTTATTCCAGAAAAAGATTCTCTTGAAATTCTCATTTGAGTAAGTGGAAGACTGAAGTGGGTGGGAAAGGTGTCCCTAAAAGGACAGAGACAGCTCACTGGCAAGTGTCAGGAAGCAGCCTGTGACAGCCTCCACGCGAGTCGCCCAAGCACCCTTCCAGCTCTCCTCACCTCTACCTCAGAAGCCTCTTGACTGGAGAATCTGCCACACACAGTACACCACCTCAGATAGTATGAAGGCCTCTGGTCTCCAGGGGGCACCTTTTGCGCTAACTGGCCTGAAGAAGGCAACTGGGGGCCTTTGTCAGGGCCCATTTTGTCCCATCCAGGCCACCTGAGGCCAACTGGCCCTAAGATTCTCTAATCAGCCTTGATCTGACACTAGGGGCCTTGGGGCTTGAGTTTTTTTTAGACAAACATTTCGGGCTAATTTGCTCATAGTCCTGATTGTGTGTAAAAAGGCAGTCTGTCTGACTACACCTCAGTAGAAAAATTGTCCTCTCTTGTTTTGCATGGAAGAGTTGTTAGGCTTGACTTGGTCTAATTAGAATAGATGGACTCATTTTCCCTGAGGAGAAGCTGGTAGGGCTGACTTCCACAACATAGAGCACTTTGGGCTCTGCACAAATGCTGTTTGAAATGAGTAGCCTGCAGAGTAGTGGTTGAACCAGCAGACATGCTCTGAGAAGATTAAATAGTCTTCACTTGCCTAAAGGAAGAAGTCAGGCCTCACTGGGGCCTCAGAGAACTGATGTCCTGACTTGAAAACCATTAGTCCTCACCAGGCCGAGTTCTGTCATAACTATTAGGCCTCACTGGGGCCTATGAGAGCTATGTTCTGTTGAAACTGTTAGGCCTTACTGGGGCCTATGATAACAGCTGGTCTTCATTTAGTCTGAGAAGAGTTTGGGATCGTTGTCCCTGAGAGCTGATGGGGCTGACTTCTATGACGTAGAGCGCTTTGGGCTCTGCACAAATGCTGTTTGAGATGAGTAGCCTGCAGAGTAGTGGTTGAACCAGTAGACATGCTCTGAGGAGATTAGATAGGCCTCACTTGCCTAAAGGAGGAAGTCAGGCCTCAATAAGGCCTAAGAAAACTGATATCCTAACTGTTGAAACCGTTAGGGCCGATTCTATTGTAACAGGCCTCACTGGGGCCTATGAGACCTGATGTTCTGTTGAAACCGTTAGGCCTCACTGGGGGTCTGGAGAACTGAAGTTCTGTTGAAACTGTTACAGGCCCTACTGGGGCCTGTGATAGCAGTTGGTCTTCATTTAGTCTGAGGAGAAGGATTTGGGATCATTGTCCCTGAGATCTGGTAGAGCTGACTTCCACCCATGTCTGTATAAACTCTGAGATGAGTAGCCTGCAGAGTAGTAGTTGAGCAGGTAGACCAGCTCTGAGGAAATTAGATAGAACTCACTTGCCTAAAGGAGGCAGTTAGGCCTCCCTAAGACCTAGGAGACCTGATGTCTTAACTTGAAACCATTAGGCCTCACTGGGGCCTAGGAGAGCTGACATTGAAACCATTAGACTTTGCTGGGGCCTATGATAGCAGTTGGTCTTCATTCAGTTTGAGAAGGATTTGGGATCATTGTTCCTGAAGAGATCTGGTAGGGCTGACTTCCACCAGTCGAGCACTTTTGGGTTCTGTTTGCAAGAGCACTGTTTGAGAGGAATAGCCTGCAGAGTAGTAGTTAAGCAGGTAGACTTGGTTTGAGGAAAGTTGATAGGCCTCAGTTGGCTCTAGGAGAGCTTTGGTTCCAAGTGCACCTGAATAGAATAGTTGGTTCTTAACTTGGCTCCAATGAAAGCATTTGGGCAACTTGCCCAGAGAACCATTGGTACTGACTTAGCCCAGGAAGAGCAGTTTGGCCTGAGATGCCACAAGGGCAATGATTGAGGTTGACTTGCCTACAAGAGTGAGGTTTGGGGTAACTTGACCTAGAGGAAAGGGGAATCTCGCTGAGTTGGCCAGTAGGAGAGAAGACAGAGTTATCTTTGCCTAGATGTATGTGAGTACATTGTGCTGGTCCAATGGAGAGCCATTCCAGCTGTTGTGACCCAGTCAGAGTTTCTCAATTAGAGGTGCCCTGAAGTGGAAAAACATAGTTTAAGGTTGGCTTGGGGCAAAAAGCCAGAAATATCCTAGCTGAAAAGTAACTAAAGTGAAATGGGCTACAGGTGGGGCTCAAGTGGTAGAATGCCTGAGGCCCTCAAGTTCAAACCCCAATAACAGCAACAACAAAAAGTTTGCAGGGAGAGAGCAGAGAGGGGACATGAGGGAAAGGGGGCTAATCAAGAAGCACTGGACACCTGGGTTCACACGTGACATTGTAACTGCCTAGTACAACCTTTTGAAGGTCAGAAAACTTAGAAGTCTGAAAAAAGTCATAGAGAAAAGCAATTGAGCAGCCCTAGCTTACTTGCTGGTGGCTGACACTGAGCAAGAGCAGTAGAGATAGTGACAATGAAGCTAGTGAGCATGTTCAGGTCAGGATCAGCTGACCTAGAACCTCCCTGGTTCTGGAAGATGGTACATGTTTTCTGAATGCCAGTGCCTCTTTGGGGGCCTCGTTAGAGGTAACAGTGCTCTGACATGTCTGAGCATCTGCCCACTCACTCTCCTGCCCACCAGGGCTGCAGACCTTTCATTCCAGCACTCTGCTCTAACTCTCAGAGGACCCTTCCCTGAACCTTCAAAGGGTGGAAATGCCTAGAATAGACACTTCTGATCCAGAGAATGACCCATGGGTCATAAAATGCCAGACCCTTGCTGCCGCTGTGTCTGGGCTCTGTGAATATTCAATGGACTGCTTGAGTTCAGGGAACTAAAAAAAAAAAATTTTTTTTTTGCCTCCCTGGAGATGATGGAGACAAATTCCCCTCCACAGGGCCTGGCTGCTTGCCCCCTAGTTTGACCTCCTCTTGGCTCATGCTAAAAAGTCCTGGGGGCCATAGCCCCTGCCGTGGTCATAGGAGGCCATGAGTTCAAAACATTACTACTAGCAAATGAGAACATAAAAGAAGGACAGATGACCTGGGGATAATGGTTCAGTAATTAGGGCAACCACTTTGAGAATATTCTCAGGAAGTAGAAACTATGACTGATAGACACTGGGTCCTGTCTTTATGATCATGACCACCTGGAAGAACATCAAAGATCCCAGGTTGATGCCTCAGGTCCTCTAGATGATCCTAAGTTCCGGCACATCAAGTAGTTTTGTTGAATATGTGAAGAAATAGATGAAGCATGCAGGCATGCATGAAAACTCAAAGCAAATGACACATTTGCACTAGCTAGGCCTCCATCAGGAGCAACTTTCCCTTATTAGCTATCCATGCTTCTCGTCCTTCTAGACTCTTCTCTAGGGAAGTTGGTCCTGCTGGCTCACTGACCCCCCCCCCCCCAACTGGCCACAAAACCACCCGTCCCTCTTCCCTCAGCGGAGCTGACAATTTCCTTGCTCAGCCTATCTCCCTGGGAGAGGCTCTTTAGGGACAACCAACAATGCTGGACTAACCTGCATTCTAAAGAACCTTTGACCTAGACTTTCTGACTTTGATCAAAGCCCTTCCA